ACATGGTTGTACTTTTGTAGATATCCAAGAAGTATTATAAATTTATATTCTTTTCCTAACATGGCCATGTATTTTATATTACATTGTTAGGATTAAAATCAAGAAAAACAAGTATAAAGTAGAAAGTTTACAAGTTTTCTCATAGATTACCAAATTTTCAGTTGTGTTTACAAGGATAATGACATAATTTTACTCGTCCAAAGTCCATTCTTACCTTGGTACTATGTATCATTTTCTTTGTAAATTAGGGTATTATAGTGTTATGGATTAGGGTGGACTATAATGTTGTTACAATTATTTCAATTATTTCACAACATTTGCATATTTTTTCATGATTCATGAGTTGAGGGTTGCTTTATATAACTTGTAACCAAAATCAATAAAACTTGGGTAACTTTATATAAATCCAACTGGCCAAACTGAAATTATTATTTTTTACTTGTAACCAAATACAATTTTTGAACATCTAAACTATTCTTTTTGTTTTGTTATTTCTTAAATGTGAATAAATTACTATAAGGAACTAAAATACGACTTCATAGTATAACTCATTTACGTGTTTAATATCAATCAATGATAAGATATTCAACTTTTAAGACATAATATCAATAAATATCCACTTATATTATAATAAATATTATATGACATACTCCGAAGCCACACTATAATTACTTCTCAAGATGACATATTATTATATATATATATAAAAATATGTATTCTTGCTTATTCTAAAAATAACTTTAAACAAATGTCTTATAACAAAAGATGACTCATAGCATCTTCCAACAAAAATACTCGAAATTTTATATAAGTATGTAACATAACAAAATACTAAATGAGGCAATGAAGGAGAAGAAAGTGATTGAGTTACCATTACCAATTCCTTAAACTCGTAACTTACAAGTTTTTGTAACAATTTACAAGGTTTTGCTATTAGATTACAATGTTAGGGTTCACCGAATCCATAATGTTGTAAATTAGCCTTTTATAAGGATATGGATCCATATTACAAGGAATTGGTAATGATGAACCGTAGGGATGTAAAATGGGTCCTTATTCTAGTAAACAATGGTTTACAACATTAAGGATTTGTATTACGATGCTTTGGACGCAAGAGTTCCATAAACTTGTAAAGTGGATCCGTAATCTCATAGATTACAATATTTCGGTTCCCATTTATTAGTTTTTACAATCTGATTACAAGTTTAAGGTTCTTCATATTCCATAATCTTATAATACCCTAATTTATAATAGAAAGGATCCCCATTACAAGTTTATGGAATGTCGAGGTCCAAAACATTGTAAAAGGGGTCCTTATTATTGTAAACCCTTGTGTTTACAAGAATAAGGACCACATTTACTTCTCCAAGGTCCACCCTTATAATACCTTAACATTATAAGAGAGATCATTTCTAATGTAAATTATAGTATTACAAGATTATGGATTATAAAGAACTTTAAAGTTGTAATCATGGCGCAAAAACTTGTAAATAGGAATCAAAATATTGTAATCTATGAGATTAAGGATCCATTTTACAAGTTTATAGAACACTTACATCCAAACTATTGTAATACAAGTCCTTAGTGTTATAAACCGTTGCGTTTACAAGAACATGAACCACGTTTACATTTCCAAGGTCCACCTAGAGATCCTTTTATTGTAATTTATGAGATTACAAATTTATGGATACACGTTACAAGTTTATGGTACATGGAGGTCCAAAATATTGTAAAAGAGGTCTGTAATATTGTAAACCCTTGTGTTTACAAGAATAAGGACCACATTTACAACGTTAAAGTCTACTTTTACCTTATCATTGTAAGAGGGATCCTTTCAATTGTAAATCAGGATATTACAACTCTATGGATAAGGAAGAACTTCAAACTTGTAATCATGGTGCAAAAAATCATAAATGAGAACCCAAATCTTATAATGTACGAGATTAAGGACCTGCGTTACAAGTTTATGGAGAGCTTGCATCCAAAGCACTGTAATACTAGTTCTTAATGTTATAAACCATTGCATTTACAAGAATAAGTACCAATTTTACATCTTCAAGGTCCACCATTACCTTAACCATGTAATAGAGATCCTTTCTATCGTAATTTATGATATTACAAGTTTATGGATACACTGTACAAGTTTATGGAACATGGAGGTCCAAAACATTGTAAAAGAGGTCCTTAATACTGTAAACCCTTGTGTTTACAAGAGTAAGGATCACTTTTACTTCTCCAAAGTCTACCCTTACCTTATCATTGTAAGAGGGATCCTTTCAATTGTAAATCAGGATATTACAACGCTATGGATAAGGAAGAACCTCAAACTTGTAATCATGGTGCAAAAAATCATAAATGAGAACCCAAATCTTGTAATGTACGAGATTAAGGATCTACGTTACGAGTTTATGGAGAGCTTACGTCCAAAGCATTGTAATACGATTCCTTAATGTTATAAACCATTGCATTTACAAGAATAAGTACCAATTTTACATCTCTAAGGTCCATAATTACCTTAACCATGTAATAGAGATCCTTTCTATTGTAATTTATGATATTACAAGTTTATGGATACACTTTACAAGTTTATGGAACATGGAGGTCCAAAACATTGTAAAAGAGGTCATTAATACTGTAAACCCTTGTGTTTACAAGAATAAGGACCAAATTTATTCCACCAAGGTCCACTCTTACTCTATTCTTATACAAGGGTTCCTTGTTGTTGTAAATTATGGTATTACGAGATTAAGGATGACTTTTACAATGTAATGGAACGACTATGTCCATTTTAATATAATACGAATCCTTAATGTTGTAACCACCACCTTTTTTACAAGGATAATGACTCAACTTACTACTCCAAGATTCATTCTTATCTTAACATTGTATTGGGGGTCATTACGAGTTTTGTAAATTACGATATTACAAGATTAAGTATCTCTTTTATAACTTTATGGAACCCCTCTGTCCATGACAATATAACGGAAGTCCTATATGTTGTAAACTCCCTTGTTTACAATGACAAAGACTAAATTTATTCCACCAAGGTCCACTCTTACCCTATTCTGATACAAGTATAAGGACCCAATTTACTTTCCTGATGCCCCAAGTTACCTTAATATTGTACTATATGTCTTTATCTTTGTAAATTACAATATTACAATATTAAGGATGAGTTTTATACTCTTATGGAACACACCTATTTAACATAGAGTAATACGTGACTTTAATATTGTAAACGTTTGTGTTTATATGTATAAGGACCCAATTTACCTTCCGAATGTTCCATTTTACTGTTTGTCAATTGCAATTTTGAACTTACTATTTGTCAATTGCATTATTCAGTTTCAATTTCCCACTAACTGTTTGTCAATTGCATACGAGTCCTTCCTATTGTAAACTGTTTGGTTTACAAGGATAATGACCTAATTTACTTCTCTAATATCCGACCTTCCCCTTATAAATTTATTTTATTAATTTTAATATATTTTAAATACATGTTTACAACATATTTACAAAGGCCAAAAATCGCATTTTTTTTACCCAAAAAAAAACTTATTCACTTTGGGGTTACAAAAGCATTAGGAATGGGAAGTGAAATCATATGGAAAACGAAGTCAAAAGTGAAGCAAATAGGGTAATTGATGGTAAAACATTCTCTTTATATATATATATATATATATATCAATGGAAATTGCCAAACAAGAGACAAATTTCCCATCGTCATTTAAAAGTGAGATCTGACTTAACAAAAACGAGTTTAACAATAAAAGTTAATAGGGTTATTCGCAGCAATGGTCCCTCAACTATACATGTAGTTACATTTGGGTCACTGAACTCAATTATTAGTTGCAGACGTCACTCAATTAGGTGTTGTGTTGCACCATTAGTCCTTTGGTAAAATTCTGTGAAATTTTTTGTCAAAAGTGAGGATAAATTCGGAAATTCATCAACAACCCTCCCCTTCGTCCACAACCCTCCATTGCCGCAACCCAATCTTTGCCGACACCAATTCAATTAAAAAGATGCCGCACAGCACCAAGAATATTTTCAAATACTCATAATAAATACCTTCAGACCAGCAAACAGATTCAAGATCTCGCATTTTAAGCCGCTTACAAGAACCCAAGTCACATTCTTGTCCCAATTCAGTACTCACATGATTTTCCCCCAACAATCTAAAACAACCCAAAAAATAAGCTTAGGAAAAAGAACCAACCTTTGAATCCGATCTGGGTATCGAGACCAACCCTTCTCCTAAATCACATCGGTCTTCCATAATCTTCAAACCCAATTCAAATACACCAATTTAAAACCCGACCCTTTTGCAAGAGCCACTAAATCTAACTCATGGGTGCTAAAATTTGTAGACTTTTGAAACAAAAATGAAAAAGGGTAAGTGCTGAAATGATGAATCTTTGGACCTCCTCGAGGGAACAAACAAGAATGGAAGGTTGAACCATAGGTTTGGCACAAGAGGAATCTTTTTTAGACTCAGTTCGCCATCAGTTTGCAAACTATCGAGAGGTTGAGAGGAAGAGGGGTTGGTGGGTTGGGGTTTTGAAGTTTTGTGTAGCAGATCTGTGGGAATTTTTATTATTTGATATTCAATTTGAATTTCTGAATTTACAAACTCACAAATTGAGCCGTTACATTGACCGTCAAAGTCAGACGTTAAATGTTGATGTGGCAGTCGTGGGACCCACCTCATAACCAAACAGCAGTTAGAAAGCGACGTCACGATGGGCAATTTCGGGAAAAAAACAAACGGTCAGCTTCGCACGCGTTCCAAGGCATACTTCGATTACCAGGCTTGGAAAAATCGAACAAACTCAGATGGATTGGATAGCAAAGGAGCGAGGAAAAAAGTGGAGGGCAACTGACGAAGAATATCCGATTGGCTGGGTGAAATGGATGAAGAGGCGCCAATGTGTTAGTGCAGAAAGGCTACTACAATTCGAACCTCTTGGAAATATTTGAATCATGGGAGGCGATTTTCCATGTGTGCAGCAAAGGTATGTGAGACTAAGAAGGGTTTTAAGGGCTGTCAATTCTGGGCATGGTTTGATCTGGCCATGTGGGAACGGTCGAAGGCAGTGATTCCTGGGCTTCTAAAATCGCGGAATAAGCTGGAGAAGTCAGTGGCAAAGGCAAGACAAAGAGAAAAGGTCGTTTGGGTGTTGTTGGTGGCTTCGTGGGTTCTATTTGCAAGCATCATTTTGGGAGGGATGTGTGGATGTGGAGTGAACAAAAAGAGAAGATTGAAATTAGCTTCTACCATTGAATGAATGTATTGTTTGTGGGTTGTTTTATTGATTCTGTGATTTTGTAAGTGTTGGGTTGTTAGTAGCAGTTTGTAATGGTTTAATTGTTATGTAAGGGTTTAGGGTTTTAGGATTAAGGGTTATAGGGTAAGGCCTAAGGGCTTAATTGCTGACTTTTTGTAACTTGATGAAGTGAATGGAATGGCAAAATTTGTAGAAAATGGAATGGCAAAAACAATGTAGCAAGGAAATTAGAAAATGGATGCACCTAGAACAATGAAGTGAATGACCAAAATAATGAAGCAAAGTGGCAACCCAAAAACTTAGAAAATTCTGCATTCAAAATGGGCTCAAAATAGCCAAATAATAACATTGCATATCGTACATATTTCATGTCCATTCAAATTCATTTCAAAATGGCAATTTCAGTGGATGTATTTGCATTCACAGTGGTTGAGGCTTATGTGAATGCAATTACATCCATAAAAAAAAGTAAGCACTTAAGTTATACAGGACCAATTTATCAAAAACAAAAACCTCATAATCAAAAACCTCCTAATCAAAAACAAAAAAAGGTAAATCATTAAATAGCTTTTTCAGTGAGCTTCAATGTACAACATTTGATCCTACAGTTGAAACAGAAGTTGATGCATAAGGACATGAAGTTGAAGGTGGTTGTCCTTTCTTACTTGGTTTTGGCTTCCCTTTTTGCACATGCCTTGGAGGCTTGGATATTTGTTTTAGGGTGCTTGGACCAGCAGCTAGAGTGGATACGTCAGACGAAGTGGTCTATAACATAAAAACTACATCAATTTGCAACAAAAGCTTAGGGTTATTAAGGGATAGAATTGAACAAGATTGAGTTGCTATACCTGGGTATTTTCAATACCCTTTTTCCTCTTAGTTGCAGGTTTGGCTTTTGGGGGAAGATTCCTATGGCAAGTCCTCTTATTGTGCCACTAATATAATTAGATCTGCTCTTCATAGACAAACTTGGGATTTGCGATCCCAAGTTTTTTTTACCACATTGCCCACATTTGAGAGAGTCCTGTGTGTTGGGAATGCGAGACAATGCAGTTTCAGATTGGTCGCTTGATGCTCTCATCTTCATCTTGCCCTTGTGCTCTTCATGTTCTTTGTTTCTACATTTTCATGGCCTTCCATGCTGTTTAGAGTAAGACGGAGGAAGACATGGCGGAAAGTCAGTCTTATCCCTCATATCCACCCATGTATTATAATCCTTCTCAACAGTCTCCTTGAATGACCTCACTGGCCACCGGGGATTGGACTTCAAACTGTCAACATATTTCTTGTTTATCCATGTTGACTTCACAGTAGGGTTCTCCTATAGTTGTGTACATGCGTGCTCACCTACATATGTCTTCACTTGCAATGTGTTGTCATGTTGAATTTTTGAAGCATATATCATCCACCCACAATCTGGGTCCCCACAAACTGCCTTCAACTTCAAAGCCTCATTCCTAATAAACACTACATCCCTATTCTGCAAGATAGAGTATTCTCTAACAGCTGCCCTAAACACCTTACAATCACTAAACAACATCCCAATCTCAAACTTTGGATCTGCCATGTCAGTTGCAGCATTGAACTCTGGCCAATTCTTATCAACTTCCTCGTCAGAATTATACTTGGCATAATCCCTGCACTCAGAATCTTTAGAATCCAATTCAACATCTGTAGGCCAATCAGGGGCAACCGCATTCCTAGTTTCTTTAACCCCTGTCCATTCGGTTTGGTCATCCACCCATTCATAAAAAAAAACATCATCATCATCATCTTCATCTTCAGGGGCAGCCATATGCCCATTTTTGACCTTTAAGTTTTCTACCCATTACGCAAATTTTGTGTTATGTATATGATTGGATTGAGCACAGAAAAATGAAGAAAACTACATGGACCAAATGTCAAACATGGATACAAAAAAGAATAGAAGTCAGTGGAAACAAACACGTTGTTTCAAACAAGTAAACTGTTAAACCTCCATAAAGAGTAAGTATGTTTATATATCGAGCAGTACGAAATAGTTGAACTTCACAATCTAAAGAATATGTATGCTAACCATGATTGCAACTCGAAAATAAAACCCAAAAATAGAAACAGTTTATGTGCCATGTAAGGCAATTAGCCACTGCCATTGACTGTACAACATGGCCGAAGACCCTGGACATTATTTCACCTTGCTACACAGAATACCTAAACCAAATAGCTCTATCAAAATGGATGGATGATCATATAAAGCACCTCCAGCACAGCTTCGATGTTTGCATCTTCATATAAAGGATTTCCTGACATAATTATGGAGCACAGTGAATTCCCAAGTGATAAGTGAAAACTGAACTCAATTCATTGGCATTATCATATTTACCTCATATATATATATGCCTCCCCCTTTAAAGCCTCAATCGCAAGCTTGAGTCGGTAATATGTGATCTTTGAAGGGTGCATAATGTAGAGACTATAAATGAACACCTACAATTTTCCCTTCTTTGGATGAAACAAAACAACAAACAAACACATAATCCAATTGCATAAATCACCAAAACCATTAAAACCATAATGGAACGGGAAAAAAACCATAATAAACTAGCAATAAAACAGCACTACGATGCCAATATAATACCACTAACATGGCAATCCAACATCAATAAAATAACAATACGATACCAATAACAACAGCAAAACAACAGCAGTTTCAAACAAAGAACAAAGAACACACTCCTTCACTGTTTCAAACAAGGAATCATTACAATCAGAAAATTTTAGAGAAACCCATAAACCCTAAACCAAATTCAGAGAAACCCCTAAACTAATTTCATAGAAACTCATAAACCCTAAACCAATTTAAGAGAAACCCCTAAACCCTAAACCAATTTCGAAGAAACCCCTAAACCAATTTCATAGAAACCATACACCCTAAACCAACTTTAAAGAAACCCCTAAACCCAAAGAAAACCCAAAGAAAATGATGATGAACCGTACCTTTTGGATGTGAACGATGGAGTTAAGCTTCGATGAATAGACATCGCTGAGGGAGGAAGACCACTGCGTCAGAGAGAGAGAGAGAGAGAGAGAGTAAAGAGAAAGTGAGAGCTAAGCGAAGACAGATTGAGAGTTGAGCGATAGAGAGACAGAGTGAAGAGAGATTGAGAGCTGAGTGACAGAGAGAGACGGAGCCAAGAGAGGTGAGAGAGAACAAAATTTCTGAAAAAATGATATGTGTGCAATCAGTGGACAATAAAAATGTATTTATAGGTGATAGTTTTAAAATTTTAGGGGAAGGATGGTATTTTCAGAAAAAATTATAAAATATGTGGCATTTTGAGCTATTTCCCAAAAATCTATGGATATTGTACATGTACCGTGAGCAAGGCCAAAAGTTCTTGCATTGTAAGCGGTGTTGCACTATCTTTATTATGCTCCAAATGGAACTGCAACAAGTCCTGTTTGTACCGAAAATTGTATTTTTGCCTAAAATGGAAGATAATGTTCCATGAACATCAAAATGGCCAAAATATGGCTAGACAAGCATTGCTGCAGACAGATGGAGTGAGCCCAAAATTCAACTTCCAGCACTCAAATCAAGTTTCGTTCTTCATGAAAGTTGTTCATCTCTATGTCTACTGAAACATATCCAAATTTGGGTTTATTCAGACAAATTTTGAATCCTAAGAGCTGAAAACATCAGATGCACAGCGTCAGTAAAATGCTTATAGCAGCATTTCGGGCGTAATTCGGGCCTAATTCCAATACTCTAATGAATTTTCTTTCTTCATGAAAGTTGTTCATTAGAATGTCTACTGCAACATATCCAAATTTGGGATCATTTGGATAAATTTGGAATCCTCACAACATCAAACATCAGAAGCATACCAGCAACAGCGAAAGCTGATGACAGTGGCAATTCGGGCCTAATTATGGCCCAATTCGGGCCAGCTTCCAGTCATCAAATGAATATTCATTCTTCATGAAAGTTGTTCATTTGGATGTCTACTACAACATATCCGAATTTGGCGTCATTTTCTTAAGTATTGTATCTTCAGAACACTAATCATGATTTCTGTTCATGAGAGCAGTGTATGACGACCAGTCAGTTGCAACCATGCTAAATCAGATTTTCCATTGCTCAAATGGAATTAAGTTCTCCATGAATGTTGTTCCTACTTATGTGGAGAACAACATATCCGAAATTTGCAGCAATTGGATCAATCTAGCATTTCCAGTTCATTATGCATCAAGGCATGTTCGGAGGAGAAACTCAGTGACTGCAAATAAAGTTTCACTTCATTGATGGAGGAACTTCATCACAAGTGAGTTGATTCAAAGAAGAATAAAATAATGTTGTAGTAGATGGAAACAATTTAATATTCTCTGTGATGAAGAATATTAAAACAAAGGAAAGCTCAACATACACGTGAAAAGTCTACACCAAGGTTGAAAGAAGAATAAAATAATATGTAAGTGGGCTTAAAGAATGAATAAAACAAGAAGTAGAGATGGTGGTCATTATCTCTCCATTTCTTTTTGTCTTTTAGTCAGTTACTTTTGGTTGTCACTCACCAATCAATGGCAAGTGGATGAATAATTTGGATTTCTTTAAGTCTAATAGTGATAACTTTTGTCAAATCACATCAAAGCCTCTTAGCAACTTTTTTGGGTTTACTTATATTTGCACGCAACCCACTCACCAAAACCAATGGCAAGTGGGTACTTCAAATTGACTGCTAGTCCATTTAACCAACCTCCATTCTCTATAAATTGAAGGAGAAATCATCAGCAAAACACACACAACTCAACCAACAAAAACCAGACTCAACGTCTATAAACCCAGCTCAAAAGCTTGAAACAACCTTCCTTTTTCATTCTCTGAATTTCCCAGTTGACAACTCCTGAGGAATTTTCTTTATTTTGCTATGACAACTCTTTGTATGATTTTTCCTTTTACAAGATTGAATAGAGAGATCTTCAATCCCCATTTTACTTTTATGTACCAAGTATGAATAGAGAAATCTTTAGGCTATGTTGTTTATGTACTTCCTTTTTCTTTAAAGTTGTCAGAATAGAGAAATATTTCGATAAACTTGTCATTTCCATTATTGTTCAATTTCAGCTTCTGCCAGTTACCATTTTCGCGCTAGATGAATATTGAAGTCCTCTAAATTGAGGCATAGAAAAGAACCTTGTATTGGGTCAGTTCCCCGCCCAATCCACAATCAATGAATTAAAGTTAATATCGGTGCGCATTTTCCAATCTTACCATTTTCAATCTATTGGAGTTTTTCATTGCCAACTGTGGCACGCCTTCTCAATCGCAACAAGCAAACTCCACGGCCAAACCCCAACGCGAATGGCCAGCGAGTCCTTTTCGGGGTAAACACCTTCCTCCATGTTTTTGTTGAAGCCCCTCATTTTCAACTGGAGCCATACTCATCTGGATTTCTGTGGCAGAAGTGAAGATCTTTTCAACGACAGAAATAGCCTTCTGTTGTTGCCTCATAATCCCTTATATATCAAACCTAGCAAGCACAGGAAAAAAGTTTGAAACTTTCGGCTTTGCAAGCAACCCCATAATTTCTATCACCACCTTCCAAAACTCAACCCCAATATCAGTTGCTTCCTTCTCTTCTTGCCGCGTCCTGCCCCATATCATGCACTTGAGTGTGTTGATGCTGGTAAAAAATGCCACCTTCCCCAAATCAACTGCGCTTCTAGCTTTGCCATAAATATAATTCAGAGACTTGTGAACCTTTTCTTTCCTCAGAGCATAGCAAGGATCAATGTTGGCATTGCTCAGCATGTGGCTCATGAATGTTAGAGAGATCCTAGCTTAATTAGGAGATTTATTTCCTAGTTTATTAGGACTATATTTCTTTCATTTTGTACAGATATTGTGTAATTAGGATTTTATCTTGTTTCCTAGTTTGACTATACTAGGGTTACATCCTTATATTATAAATACCTCCTTTTGTTTGACATGGCATCAGAGCCAACTTTTCTGGTGACTTGTGCGATTTGCCCCATATTTTTTTCTACCTGTGCCGTGTGTGCCCTCCTAGGTTTGTGTGTTGTGTTATAGTGTACGTGCCTCTACTGTGTTCGTGTCATTCCTGTCTTCGTGCATCTGCTGTATTTGTGCCTTTGTTGTGTTTTGCTGTGTACTTTGCCGTGTTCGTGCCTCTACTATCTTCGTGCCTGTCTTTGTGCATCTGCCGTATTTGTGTCTCTACTGTGTTCTGTTGTATACTTTGTCGTGATATGTTAAGTTTCTGCTTCAATCGTGGGTGAGAACTCCATTGTTGGTGTTGTTGTTGCTGCTTCTACAAATTTGTATGTTTCTGACTTTATTCCAGGTACTAGCTCCAATACGTGGATAATTGACATTGATGCTTCTGATCATATGACTTATGATGCTAAATTTTTTGATAAGTTGTCTAGTAACACCCGTGAGCCATACATAACTAGTGCTAATGGCTTGCCCTCTCCAATTATTGGCGAGGGTACAATCTTTCTCACTCATACTCTGTCCTTATCTCGTGCGTTATTAGTTCCCAATATCCATTGTAACTTGTTATCTGTTGGTCGATTACTTGATACACTTAATGCTTCTGCTACTTTATATCCTACACATTGCTCTTTTCAGGATTTTCAGACTCATGAGACGATTAAGCACGGTAAACAGATAGGGAGAGTTATATTATTTGACATTGCCTTCTACACCAGTTCGTGATTGTGTCGTTAATACTGTTCAAAGTTGCAGTGTCAAAGACAAAGAGCAAATTTGGTTATGGGATCGTTGCTTGGGACACCCATCATTTGGCTACCTTAAGCATTTGTTTCCATTTTTATTCTGCTTTTGTGATGAGTCCAGTTTTAAGTGTGAGACATGTATTTTGGCCAAGAGTCATCGCACTGTGCTTCCTTTGAGTGATAGTAAAGTTGCAAAGCCTTTTGATTTAGTGCATAGTGACCAAATTTCTTACATTTCCAGCATTCAATTTTCTTTTTGTCGGTGGTCTTTTTAAATTTGTCATCCTTATCTTGTCCATGTACTTTTGACCAATTTTTCTTGGGGTGAAACTTTCTTTTACTATAAAAGTCATCATTATGTTTAAAGGAATGTCGTTTTCTTTGAAAATGTCTTGATTTACTTGATTGATGCTCATAATTTCTATGTTTGATTTTTTTGGAGAGTGGAATAGTAGCTAAACCATATTGTTCACAAAAGTCTCCTAACTCATATTTGGCGGATTTTCTATCTGACTGAATTTGTTTACCAATTTTCATATCAACACACATTTTCATTCCAACTTGATTAATTGCACTAATTATATTACCGTAGGTTAGACTATCAAAGTATATGACCCTGATCAATACTCAAGACTGTTCATATTTTATGGGCAAACAGGTTAGGGAGACCATTCTTTGTACCATCTGAAATCACTTAATTTGGGACATCTAAGGTTACTAAGTTGATCATGAATTTTGGCTGTAGTGTTACTAGGTGTTCCTATGAAATGTTCAATGATTGTATATAATAAGGTATTGACTCTGTCTTCAATGCATGTACCTAATCGTTCATCGAAAATGGGAAGACCTTCTTCATTAAGTTTTACTGCATATATGATTTGTCGTTTTGACTCTTCAGTTAAGTGTTTATCCCACCAAGAACGTAAAGTTCCGATGAATCCTGTTTCTAAAAGGGGAACAATTTCTGACTGTCTTAAATTGTGATTGGTATTGTAACTATTCACTAGTAAAAAATCACCCTTGGGCCACCACATTTTGCGCGACGAAACACAAAACTTCGTCGCTACAAACCTTGCACGACAAAATTTTGCGCGACGAATTGTTTTTTGTCGCACAAAATCACTTTGCGTGATGACAATACATCGTCGCGCAAAGTCTTGAGCGACCAAATTTTGTGCGACGAAAAACTATTTGTCGCGCAAAGTCACTTTGCACGACAAAACAATAAACTTCGTCGCTCAAAGTCCTTATAAAAATAAAAAAAATAAAAAAAATTCTTTTTTAAAATCTTTTTGTTAGAAAATATATTTTTTAAATTGACGATTGAATTAGTTCATTGTATTCATATATGGTCAAAGAGTGTAGCTGTAAAAAAATCATCACAATCGGAGTTAAAATAACCATTAAATCGGGATTTTTCATTTATAACTGTCGAAAAGTTTTGTCCCATTACTTGATCTCTAAATGTTTATTTTTTTTTATTTTTGGCATATATGATCTCAAAGTATAAACAAACAAGTTTGACGGTTGGATCGTTGAAACTTGTTTCGTAGAATGCGTATGCCATCAAAACAATATATTCACTAACAATTAAAAGTTTATTTATACTTTTGTTAAATATAACATAAGATTTTGTGGTATCCACTAGTGTAAATATTTTAAATTGACGATCGAATTAGTTCATTGTATTCATATAGGGTCAAGGAGTGTAGCTGTAAAAAATCATCAAAATCAAAGTTAAAATAACCGTTAAATCGTGATTTTTCATTTATAACCGTAAAAAAGTTTTATCCCATTACTTGATCTCTGAATGTTTAATTTTTCCAATTTTTGGCGTATATGATCTCAAAGTATAAACAAAAAAATTTGACGGTTGGATCATTGAAAATAGTTTCGTAGAATGTGTATGCCATCAAAACAATATATTCACTAACAATTAAAAGTTTATTTATACTTTTGTTAAATATAACATAAGATTTTGTGGTATCCACTAGTGTAAATATTTTAAATTGATGATCGAATTAGTTCATTGTATTCATATAGGGTCAAGGAGTGTAGCTGTAAAAAATCATCAAAATCAGAGTAAAAATAACCATTAAATCATGATTTTTCATTTATAACCGTCGTAAAGTTTTGTCCCGTTACGTGATCTCTGAATGTTTATTTTTTCCAATTTTTGGCGTATATGATCTCAAAGTATAAACAAACAAGTTTGACGGTTGGATCGTTGAAACTAGTTTCGTAGAATGCGTATGCCATCAAAACAATATATTCACTAACAATTAAGAGTTTATTTATACTTTTGTTAAATATAACATAAGATTTTGTGGTATCCACTAGTGTAAATATTTTAAATTGGCGATCGAATTAGTTCATTGTATTCATATAGGGTCAAGGAGTGTAGCTGTAAAAAATTGTCAAAATCGGAGTTAAAATAACCATTAAATCGTAATTTTTCATTTATAACCGTTGAAATTTTTTTGTCCCGTTACTAGGTCTCTGAATGTTTGTTTTTTTTTGCGATTTTTGGGGTATGTGATCTTGAAGTATATACAAACAAGTCTAACAGTTGGATCGTTGAATGGTGTGTGTATATATATATTTATTTACTTATTAAGTAGCTTTAAATTTATTTATTTTGTACGTATAACAATTAAGAAATTGAATAGTATATACATTTATTAAGTAGCTTTAACCTTATTTATATTTTAAATCGTAAAATAAAATAATTTTATTTTTTATTATTCATAGCAATTATTTATATAAATATCGTGCTACGAATCAACTTTTCGTCTCTCAAAAGTTTTGCGCGACCAACAGTTCGTTGCGCAAAACTCTAAAATTTGGGGTGGGTACTAGAAATGGGATTTTTTTGGATAAAAAAAAAAAAAAAAAAAAAAAAAAAAAATGACCAATATATATTTTTCGTCGGGCAAAAATTTGGGCGGATACCAAAAATGGGACGCGGGAATTTTTTTAGATTTTGCGCGACCAATATGTATTTTTCATCACGCAAAAATTTCAAAATTTGGGCGGGTACTAAAAATGGAACACCGTGATTTTGTTTTTTTTTGTTTTACTTTGCGCGACCAATATTCCAATATGTTTCGTTGTGCAAAAAATTCAAAATTTGGGCGGGTACCAAAAATGGGACGCAGGATTTTTTATTTTTTATTTTGACATTGCGCGACCAATAATCCAGTATTCGTCGCGCAAAACTTCCCGCGAAAAATATGTTTCGTCGCGCAAAACATTGAGCGACCAATAATCCAATATTTTTCGTCACGCAAAGTGATACGGTTTTTAAAATGAAAATAACTCCACCATTTTCTCAATGTCTTTCTCTTACCTCTCATCTCTCTTTCCCTCTCCCCAAATCCCACCATTTCTCTCACACTCACTCCTCTCACTTAATCTCTCATCATCTCTCTCTTCACTATCTCTCACTCTCACTCACTCTCTCATCTCTCTATCATTATCTTCTCTAATTCTCTCACACTCACTTCTCTCTCTCATTCTCACTCACTCTCAATCTTGCCAAAAGGTATATTCTCTCCAAATTTTAAATTTTTTTCATTAATATGTATTTTTGGAGTTAGTTTTGAGTTTGTGTGGGTAGGGATTGGAGTTTGGGTTGGATTTGTGGTATAACAATTTTTGGGGAGATTTTCTTTTTTTTTTTTTTTTTTTTTTTTTTTTTTTTTTTGTTTATTTTTTTTTTTTGTAGGGAATCATCAAGACTTTGACGGCTAAAGTTGAGGATTAGGAAGCTATCAAAACATATCCTCCGCCACTACCACCACAATACGCTTGTATTAGGATTTTATTATTGTACTTTGTTATTTATGTGTACATTTTGAATATTATATATATATATTTATTGGATAATTTGATCACTATTTTTCATATGTAATTTTATTTTGAATATGTCAATTTAAATTAAAGTAATTAAAAAATATCATACAATTAAATTAAATTTAAAAAGTAAAAATTTGAAAAAATTAATATAATTAAATTATTATCAATTTAAATTAAAGTAACGAAAAAAATCATACAATTAAATTTAATTTAAAAAGTAAAAATCAAAATAATTAATATAATTAAATTAATATTAAAGAAATAATAAAACCAAAGGTCAAAAACCAAAATATTTCATCGCGCAAATATTTGCGCGACATTAGTATTCGTTGCGCAAAACTCTAAAAATTTTGGGCGGGTACTAAAAATGGGACGCGGGAATTTTTTTTTAACTTTTTCGTTGAGAAAAACTTTGCGCGACCAATATTTTTTTGTCGTGCAAAGTCGCTTTGCGCAACCAATATGTTTCGTCGCGCAAAGTGACTTTGCGCGACAAATATTTTTCGTCACACAAAGTCCCTTTGTGCGACCAATGAAAAAAGTTCGTCGCGCAAAGTCTTTCTTCACGATCTTTGCGTGACGGATTCTGCGTGACGAAGTTTCTGTCGCTCTGAAATTTGTGCGACTACAATGTATTTTGCGCGACAAAATTCTCTTCGTCGCGGAAAGTGTAAAATGTAGTAGTGATTGGCTACCGTGGACATGTGTTGTAACTTGTTTAGGATTTCTTGTTTTGATAGACCATCGATATTCCATTCGTAAAGTTTATCAAATGAGATTGAAAATTGACTTTGGGAATTTCTTTCTTCAAACTGGATGTCAGGGGGAGTTGGTTTGGGATACCAATTTTTTGTTAGACTACACTACTACAAAAAAGGAAAACCACGACGGGAATTCACCGTCGTGTATTCTGTTTTCAAATGGTCGTGGAATCCACCGACATCTTTTCCATAACCAAACCACGACGGTGAATAACCGTCGTTTAAAACAAAAAATGTCATCAAAAAATAAAAACCGACGTCTTTGTGCTGCAAAAAGACATAAAAAAACAGTCGAGGATGAGAATAGACGACCAACTCCAACAAAAAAAACGTCGTTAAAAAACAGGATGACACAAATATAAATATACGACGTCTTTACAATCATAATAGACGACGTTATTGACACCTACTACGTCACAACATTTCCCACAACCGTCGTAAAATAAATTTTCCACTTCGATTTTTCTATGAATTATGACGTGGAAATAGATGTCAGGGTCATTACTTACGACGCATGTATTTACAGAGACGACGTTGAATTGATAAATAACGTCGGTTCCAAATAAATGAGAGCCGTATTACAGAATTTATACGTCATATTTTGAAAATAAACGACGTGAAAAAAGATGGTGTCATTAATTACGACACAGTAATTTATAATGACGACGTTGTAGTCTATATACAACGTCGTCACCATTAAAAAGACCGTCGTCTTTAATAATTTATACGTCTTCATTTAAAAAATTGACGTCGTCTAATTCATATATCTTAACGTCGACAAGTTTAATGGACTTCAAATACCGTCGTAAAATAAATTTTCCACTTCGATTTTTCTACGAATTATGACGTGGAAATAGATGTCAGGTTCATTAATTACGACGTATGTATTTACTGAGACGACGTTGAAATGAATAAACAACGTCGGTTCCAAATAAATGAGAGCCGTATTACAGAATTTATACGTCATATTTTGAAAATAAACGACGTGGAAAAAATGATGGGGTCATTAATTACGACACAGTAATTTATAAGGACGACGTTGTCGTCTATATACAACGTCGGTACCATGAAAAAGACCGTCGTGTTTAATAATTTATACGTCTTCATTAAAAAATTAACGTCGTCTAATTCATAAATCTTAACGTCGACAAATTTAATGGACTTCAAATACCGTCGTGAATTCATCCTTTTCCACTTCGTTTATGAAAGAACATGCGACGTGGTAAATTCATGACGACGTCGTCTTTTGTAACGTTCAGGTTAAAGTTCTCGTCTTTTAGACGTCGGTATTATGGGATTGGAGTCGTGTTATTTTGAATTACATGGCGGTTCTTTATGCTTGTCCGACGTGTTATCCTGGATAACTGTTTCACAATAGCGTCGTGGTTCTTCATTGTTACTTTGCTTTAAGACGTCGGTAAATATATTGCGGTCGTTGAATGCTCCAAAACGTCGTTATTTATTAGAACAGACGTTTGTTTTTCACATTTTTATCAAAACCGTCGTGTTTGTAATCTGGAACCAGTAATTTTTGTACTGATTGTTTTGTGGCCAAAACCTGTATAATGAAAGTGAAGAAATCACATTACAATATATTACAAAATTAATGTCATACACTGCCAATTACATAAAGCATCATTCAACCCATATATCTTCACACCCATCTCGAATATTTTGACTCCCTAAACTCAACCACCACTTCATCAAATGTGTCAACATTTGGCATCCCCCTAGTAAATGGCTCACACTCAATTCTCACATCACCTAAGACATCATCACCAATAACATCATTATATTCTCTATTAGGCATTGATAACACTACCGACCAACCACGATGCATCGGGTCGTCAACAAAAAATACTTGTTTGACTTGAGAAGCCAAAACAAATTGGTCATTCCTATGTCCAATTTTACTCAAATCTACAAGGGTAAATCCGTTCGTCCACTACAAGACCAGAAGTATTATCAATCCAATCACACCTAAAGACTGGGATTGTAAACTTTTGGTAGTCAAGGTCCCAAATTTCTTGAATGACACCATAGAAACCCATATTTGAGAGAATTGGGTTTTTATCCTTGGCACTAGCAACTTGCATAGTATGTGCAAGTAAATAAACTCCACTATTTTGAGTTGTCCGCAACATCATCTTGTGCCTTGATGTTGAATTTAATACCTTTAATGAGATAGCTCCTATATAATGGCACTGCCATGTTTGGACCAGCTGCTAGCCACCTTAAATTTTCTGATACGCCATGATTGTCTTCCTCATTAAGTTCACTTTGAACCTGCAAATTAATCATAACTTAATTCAATCTAACATAGAAAGAAGAAAATTAAAAGTCCAATATGTTATTCAATAACATATACCTTGAAGCGTAGCCATTGAATGAAAGTGCTATTGTGCTTATCCTGCAGCCACTTTGTTCTCTTTCTAAATTTTGGATAAGCGGTCTGGATGTGGATCATATGTTGCCTACATGACACACAAAATTCAAGTATTACGGTCCCAAACATATAAGATAAACATAAGAAATAATTTAAAATGGAAACTTAAAGAATAAAACTCATACGTACTCGATATAAGGTAGGACTTCCTCCGTATTCTCCAAGACATATAGATGTGCTTGGTTCAACAGGTCCCTGATCAACTACGCTCACTGTGCAACCTGATAATGTTTGAAACTCCCATCTTTTGGCTTGAAGGCACTCCAACTGTACTAACATCAGATAAATGCTCGGTACAAAACTCTACAGCTTCTTCAGCTATATACCGCTCAGCAATGCAACCTTCGGGACGAGTACGATTCTGAACATACCCCTTTAGCACTTTCATATATCTTTCAAACGGATACATCCATCTAAAATATACTGGCCCACATAGACGAACTTCTCTGACAAGATGTACTACTAGATGAACCATGATATCAAAGAATGAAGGGGGAAAGTACTTCTCAAGCAAACACAAAGTACTACTACATCTTCTTCCAACTTATCTAGCTTGGAAACATCAAAGTCTTTGCACATATACATTGAAGAAGAAGCCACAAACATTTTGCATACCTTCAGGTTCTCCAAAACAGAACGAATTGCCACAGGGAGCAATTGTTGCATTAAGGTATGACAATCATGTGATTTAAGGCCAAGAAGTCTTGAATCTTGTAAAGATACAAGATTTTTTATATTTGAAGAATAACCTTCAGGGACCTTCATACCATAGAAAGAATTGCAAACCTCTCTCTTCTCTGCTCTTGACAAATTCCAAGGCCCGGGAGGCAAACGAGTACGTCTTTCTCCATACTCGGGTTGCAAATCAGTTTTGACCCCCATGTTCAATAAATCTAATCGAGCAGCAATCCCATCTTTATTTTTTCCAGGGATCTCCAGCAATGTACCAATGATACTATCGCAAACATTCTTCTCAATGTGCATAACATCTAGGACATGCCTCACAGGAAGGTATTTCCAATACTCGAGATCAAAGAATATTGATTTCTTCTTCCAACAAACTCTGTCACCATCTTCAACCATATGCAGCACTTCTTCTCCGGTTAATGGCTCAGGAGGCGTGCCATATTCAGGTTTCCCATTAAAAGCTGCACGTTGCCTCCTATATGGATGATTGATCGGTAACCATTTTCTATGCCCAATGTAACAAATTTTGTGGCCATTTTTCAACCTGTGACTAGGTGTATCATCGCCGCATATTGGACAAGCTTTATATCCTTTAACAACACAACCAGATAAGTTTCCATAGGCGGGGAAATCATTAATTGTCCACATTAATGCAGCTCTGAGTGTAAAGTATTCTCCATTATGTGCATCATACACTCCTCCAATCCCATCCCACAAAGATTTTAAATCATCAATCAAAGGCTCCAAGTAGACGTCTATATCATTTCCGGGTTGTTTAGGACCGGAAATCAATAAGGTCAACATCATGAACTTTCGTTTCATGCACAGCCATGGAGGGAGATTATATGTAACTAAGATAACTGGCCAGCAACTATATCTGCTACTTAGAGAACTGTGGGGATTGAATCCATCAGATGAAAGAGCCAATCTCAAGTTTCTCGGCTCATTACCAAACTCGGGCCATTTATCATCAAGAAGTTTCCAAGACGGGGAATCCGCTGGATGAGACATCTGACCGTCAATTGATTTTCTAGCAGCATGCCAAGTCAAACTCTTAGCTGTCTCATGTGATCGAAACATCCTTTTAAACCTTGGAATTGGAGGAAAATACCACACCACCTTCGCTGGCACACCCTCTTTCAAGATTGAATCTTTGCCTTCCTTCCACCTTGAGATACCACAAGTAGGACAATGAGTTGAATCTCATACTCCTTCCTATACAAGATGCAATCATTGGGGCATGCGTGCATTTTCTCATAACTCAGCCCCAATGCACACAAAGTCTTTTTGCCTCATACATAGAGGCCGGTATTGTATTTCCTTCTGGAAGCAAATCGCCTTGAAGTATCAATAATTCTGTAAAACAGACATCACTCATCCCATGTTTTGCCTTCAAATTATACAACTTCACTAATGCTGATAACTTCGTGTACTTTCTACAACCAGGGTACAATGGTTGATCTCCATCCCCAATCACATTGGCAAACTCATAAGGATCAGATCCAAAATCACCAAAATCATTATCATCCATCTCTATTTCTTCAGACACAAAACTGTACCTACTATGGTCATCATCTTCTTCAACATTTCTACTAGCATTAGTAGTTGCTTCCCAAGGTTCTCCGTGAAATGTCCAATTCTTATAGCTTTGGTCAACTCCATTAAAGTATAAGTGATCCCTTATAATTCCAACCCCAAACAATTTCAAATTAACACATTTAACACATGGACAACGGATATGTGTGGTAGTTAGAAGATTTTCTACAGAAAAGTTCAAAAATGCTTCCACCCCTAACTCATATGCCTTCGATCTTCTATCCGAGTGCATCCATGACTTATCCATCTCCGACACTATACCCTATTATCTATAATAAAGTGAAAAGACAAGCAATGACCATCACTATAGCAGATTATATAAAGTTTAATAGCAAGTAATATACAACAAAGACGACGGTTTTTAAACAAAACAGACGTATTTGACATATATAGACGACGGTTTATCAACAAACGTCGTCAATTATAACCACGACGGTAGTAAAGAACACCGTCGTGTATAAGTAATACAGACGACGGTTTATTAAAAACGTCGTCGTATGCCTAAAAAGTTTATTTTCAGATCCCAAAACCCTATTAAGAACACATACATACACAGAAACCAACATATACTAAGCATGAAAACAATAAATCCATTCCCAATTCAACATAACAGAGAGTGATTAAAAGATCCGACAAAATAAATCCATTCCCATATTCAACATAACAGAGAGTGATCAAGAAAACATTAAACAGAAAATCCATGAACCCATACCTCCAACAACATTATAAAAGATCGCAAAACATATATCTAAAACCCTTTAACAAAACAACGTAATATCATTCAATGAATTTACAAGGGGAAAAGAGAGGGTTTGTACTTACAGGTTGGCAGAGCTCACAGATTATGACCAAATTGGATTTGACACAGCCTGGCCCAACTTTGAATTAGAGATGAAGTGAGAGAGCGAAATGTTATGTTGCGCGAAATCTGAAAATTTTAGGGTTCAGGGTTAGAAGTATAAAAATAAGAGCCAAATCTGAAAATTTTAGGTCCCGCGAATATTTTAAGAAAGCGCGCTCTTTAAAACATCGACCGAAAAAAACAAGCGTCGTTAAAATTTAACATTAAACATGACGCTTATTACATTAAGGACGTCGTGGTAAAACTATGTACGACGCAAAATCAAAAAAGGCGTTAAAACTATGAAAAACCACGTCGGAGTTAAGTAATTAACGACGTTGTAAATAACATAAACGACTTACGTGTAAACAAAACGTCGTTTTAAAAGAGAAACCACGTCGGATTTTTCACCATACGACGTAAACTCAATATTCCACGACTCAATCACCGTCGTTAAAAGTAATACCCTAAACTTTAAAACCATAAATTATATATTTGTAAAATTTAATTTTATAAAATTGTTTATGGTTTTACATCCTAATATATAACAAACATAAAACCCTAAACCCCAAAAATATACTAAACCCTAAACCCTAATAAATAACAACCCTAAACCCAAAACCCTAAACCCTAAACCATCAAACTATATAAGTGATGCTATGACTCATCAAAACAATTTTATTTTGGTTGGTCATTTTAAAAACTTTTATTACACAAACTGCATTTTTTTGGGGTTTAGGGGGAAAGAAAAATATATCAATGACTTCATAGGAGTTGAAGTTGAATTTTTTGAATTTATTTTAAATTTATTTTAAAATTTTGAATTAAAAATAATAAAATATTCTTATATCAACAACAAAACCACGGCGGGTTAAGTAACTAACGACGTTGTAAATAATAAACGACTACGGTAAAAAACGTCGTTTTAAAAGAGAAACCACGTCGGATTTTTCACTATCCGACGTAAACTCAATATTCCACGACTCAATCACCGTCGTTAAAGTTAATACCCTAAACTTTAAAACCATAAATTATATATTTGTAAAATTTAATTTTATAAAATTGTTTATGGTTTACATCTAATAAATAACAAACATAAACCCTAAACCCCAAAAATTATACTTAACCCTAAACCCTAATAAATAACAACCCTAAACCCCAAACCCTAAACCCAAACCATCACACTATATAAGTGATGTATGACTCATCAAAACAATTTTATTTTGGTTGGTCATTTTAACTTTTATTACACAACTGCATTTTTTTGGGGTTTAGGGGAAGAAAAATATATCAATGACTTCATAGGAGTTGAAGTTGAATTTTTTGATTTATTTTAATTTATTTTTAAATTTTGATATTAAAAATAATAAAATATTCTTATATCCCACACAAACCACGGCGGGTGTAAGTAACTAACGACGTGGTAAATGATAATAAAGGACTGTAAAAAACGTCGTTTAAAAAGAGAAACCAGGTCGGATTTTTCACTATCCGACGTAAACTCAATATTCCACGACTCAATCACCGTCGTTAAAAGTAATACCCCTAAACTTTAAAAACCATAAATTATCTAATTGTAAAATTTAATTTTATAAAATTGTTTATGGTTTTAATATAAATAACCCTACCCCAAAAATTAACTTTAAACCCTAAACCCCAAAATTATACTTTAAAACCCTAAACCCTAATAAATAACAACCCTAAACCCCAAACCCTAAACCCTAAACCATCAAACTATATAAGTGATGTTATGACTCATCAAAACATTTTATTTTGGTTGGTCATTTTAAACTTTTATTACACAAACTGCATTTTTTTGGGGTTTAGGGGGAAGAAAATATATCAATGACTTCATAGGAGTTGAAGTTGAATTTTTTGGATTTATTTTAAATTTATTTTTAAAATTTTGAATTAAAAATAATAAAATATTCTTATATCAACAACAACCACGACGTTGTAATAATAATAAACGACTCACTTGTAAAAGGACGTCGTTAAAAGAGAAACCATGGCGGATGTTTCACATCCGACGGAAAATACATATTCCACCACGACTGAATCACCCACGTTAAAAAGTATTAACCTAAACCCTAAACTGTAATTATATAATAAACGACTTACTTGTTCAAAGGACGTCGTTTAAAAGCGAAACCATGGCGAAATTTTCACTAAAACGACGTCCCATGTACGTACAAACGGTATATCACGTCTAAATATCTTTTACGTCGTTTTTTTACATATTATGTCGTTGGAAAGTGTATTACACGTCGGTTTCGCAATTTGTTTTTTCTTTTATATTATGAAAACCTCAAAAATTTTCAGGGAAAAAAAGATGTATATTATAGACAAAATGTGACATTAAATATATAGACAAAATTAGTACATATAAAAATATCAAGTGTTCCAAAAATCCTCTATTCCATATGAAGGCAAACCATTCATTCCGGACTTCATCAATGGCTGGTGTATGGCGCTTTGTCTTTTCCCTTGGCAAACTGCAATCCATAAACAAGGTTATTAAGCTTACAAATAAAAAGAATTCAGTCACAGACGACGCTTTTTTTCATAACCGGCCGTAGTATATCGATTTCAACGACGGTAATTTTAAAGGACCGTCGTGATATAACAAAAACCACATAAAATTTTCTGAAAATTTTCTTCTTACATTCTTCTCAAACTCCAAGAAGGATCCATGATGAGTCCTCATGAAGCGCATCACATATACCCGCATTCGACCTGCGGGGTTGCTTTGGTGTGCCTGGCAGGCGGTTTTCCAAATAATTGGTCTTTACGGCCTGTCTGCCTATGTGGGAATTATAAATTTTTAAAGCGATATTTTTGCCCTCTTCATCAACCACACGTTTCCAGCAGAGGATCCAGAAAAATCGACGGTTTCCCTCTTTGCCAGCAAGAACCCACAAAATAAAATAAAAATTATATAAAAAAGTCAGCACAAGAAAACAAACGACGGTTATTTATAAAAACCGACGTAATTATATAGTTTTCACACGACGTAATAATTTCATCGACGTCATTATAAATTTATCACGACGGTAATTAACTACGAGTGGTTAGGGTTTCAAAAACTCAATAAATAAATAACCGACGTGGTTAGATGTTTCAAACGACACAAAATTAGTTAAACAGTTTTATAAGGGTAGGTTAGTGAAAATCATACAAACAAAATCCTTTTAAGGAGAATAACCCTGGATTGTAAGGAATCATGAAAATCTGTTTCACCATATGTTTTTTGAAGTCGACTGGCTACAATTGTGTGATCTGTCAGTTAGTGACCCAGCGTTGGCAATAACTTGAGCAGGGGCGATAAAGCCAACCATGCTTGCAATATTTGCTTCTCTCAAAGATATATAAGCACCTAAATACAAACGACGGTTATTTTTATAAAAAAAACGAACGTATTATACAATTCACACGACGAACTAAAATAGAAACAGACGTGATAACTAATTTATCACGACGGTAAAAAAGAACGGACGTGGTTAGTGGTTTAAAACGACGACATAATTAACCCACCGACGTCTTATGCTATAATGTTGATTTTGATAAGGACAAACCCCATATATATGCAACCACAGTAGCCCCAATTCTTCCATGCCTGCAAAATGTGTAATATCTTCATGCAAGACGAAGGTACTCGATCTGCACAAAACACCTCCTTCTCAATGTTGAAGGTCATGATTTCCCCTGTGGCTTTAGTGTAGTTTCCACTAACAAAAAAAGGATTGTAAGGGAGGAAGAGAGGGCACCTCCACATTTGAACAATCACTACTTCATTACCCTGTTTAAAGAAATAAACAAAAAATAAAATGAGGGGGGGGGTGGGGGTGGGTGGGGGGTGGGGGGGGGGGGGGGGGGGGGGGGGGGGGGGGGGGGGGGGGGGGGGGTGGGGGGGGGGGGGGGGGTGGGTGGGGGGTTGGGGGGGGGGGGGGTGGGTGGGGGGGTGGGGGGGGGGGGGTGTGGGGGGGGGGGGGGGGTGGGTGGGGGGGGGGGGGGGGGTTGGGGGGGGGGGGTGGGGGGGGGGGGGGGGGGGGGTGGGGGGGGGGGGGGGGGGGGGGGGGGGGGGTGGGGGGGGGGGGGGGGGGGGGGGGTGGGGGGGGTGGGGGGGGGGGGGGTGTGGTTGGGGGGGTGGGGGGGGGGGGGTGGGGGGGGGGGGGGGGGGGGGGGGGGGGGGGGGGGGGGGTGGTGGGGAGGTGGGGGGGGGGGGGGGGGGGGGGGGGGGTGGGGGGGGGGGGGGGGGTGGTGGGGGGGGGGGGGGGGGGTTGGGTGGGTGGGGGGTTGGGGGGTTGTGGGGTTGGGGGGGGGTGGGTGGGGTGAGAAAAAAAAAAAAAAAAAAAAAAAAAAAAAAAAAAAAAAAAAAAAAAAAAAAAAAAAAAAAAAAAAAAAAAAAAAAAAAAAAAAAAAAAAAAAAAAAAAAAAAAAAAAAAAAAAAAAAAAAAAAAAAAAAAAAAAAAAAAAAAAAAAAAAAAAAAAAAAAAAAAAAAAAAAAAAAAAAAAAAAAAAAAAAAAAAAAAAAAAAAAAAAAAAAAAAAAAAAAAAAAAAAAAAAAAAAAAAAAAAAAAAAAAAAAAAAAAAAAAAAAAAAAAAAAAAAAAAAAAAAAAAAAAAAAAAAAAAAAAAAAAAAAAAAAAAAAAAAAAAAAAAAAAAAAAAAAAAAAAAAAAAAAAAAAAAAAAAAAAAAAAAAAAAAAAAAAAAAAAAAAAAAAAAAAGAGAGAGAGAGAGCATGCCAAGAAAGGGCACCTTTTATTTTTGCAAGATTTGTGCATTGATCAACATTTAAGCAAATGAACAAGAAGCCAAATATATATATATATTTTTCAGAGAATAAATGAAAAAAGAAAAGGAAGAAGAATCATGAACAAATGGGAAGAAAAAAGTAAGCAAAAGAGGAACAAAAGTTTGGGCAAGTGAGAAATTTCTTGAAAACAAAAAGACTTGGTGAAATATGAGATTCAAAATGACCAAAAATGGCCCCTCATACATTTAAAACTAAACCATGTTACATAATCAATTTGGTCTTGAAACCAACAAATCCATAATGGCATTGGCAATGAGTGCCAAACTGACACTAAATATATATATACATACATGCCTTAAAAAACATGGCATGGAAGGAGTTTAATTGCCTAATCCAAAAGGTGGTAAAAAGAAGAGTTTATTACTGAAATTGGCAAGGATTGCATGTTACTTGTCCCTCTTTCCCCATTCATGATCACACTTTATAAAAAAATTTGGCACACTAAAGAAAAATCTAATTAGATTATTATTAATTATTTGAACATTTTACAACTGTTTTTTTTTTCTTTCATATTTTGTATATGTTAAAATGATATATATATATATATATATATTTTTTTTTTTGGGTTGTGTGTGTCTTTTGGTGAAGGAATGCTTGTCACCTACTCCTTTTAAGTTCCCAATCTCTCTCTCTCTCTCTCTCTCCATACTAGTAGTCTCCAAAGGCCAATGCTTTAGAGAGAGAAAGCAAGAAATAGTGCCTTAAAGCTTTGATCTTTGGTTTGCTCTCTGCTCTGCTGCTGTGCGGTGTGCCAATGGAGAGGCACAAATGCAAGCTCTGCGCTAGAACTTTTGCTAATGGCAGAGCATTGGGTGGACACATGAAGGCTCACTTGGCCACTCTTCCTCTTCCCCCAAAGACCCAGCAACTCACTGAGTCAGCCTCGTCTTTATCTTTATCCTCAGGTGAAGAACCAGAACCAGAACCAGAACAAGAACAGCAACTACAGGAAGAAGAAGAAGAAGAAAAGGGTTTGGTGTATGGGTTGAGAGAGAACCCAAAGAGGAGTTTCAGGCTTGCAGATCCTGAGTTCTCTTTTACAGTTGATGCTGGCTCTGTCATTCAAGACAGAGAGAGCGAGACCGAGTCAAAAAACCCGACTCGGAGACGATCCAAGCGGAATCGGAGATCATTTGTGGTTGTTACAGAGAATCAGAGGCAGCAGCAGCAGCAGAGCCAGAAATTGGAGTTGCAGAAAAAACCCATGTTGACAAATTCAACACAACCCAGTTTGGCTGAGTCAATGGCCGAGCCTGAACCGCTGAGCTCGGTCTCTGATACTTCTCCTGAAGAAGACGTTGCTATGTGTCTTATGATGCTCTCAAGAGATGTATGGATGAGAAGAACAAATGATCAGCAGCAAGCAGATCAATCAGACCAAGATCAAGAACATGGTAAGCAAGCAGTGGAGAAATTGGAGGGGATCAAATTGAAGAAAGTTCGAGGCAAGAATCGGTGCGAGAAATGCAGCAAGCTGTTTCGATCTTATCAAGCAATGTGCGGGCATAAAAAAATTTGCTTTCGCAACGAAGACGAAGCAATCAACAATGCAGGTGGTGAGAAGCTATTTGAGTGCCCGTTTTGTTGCAAAATTTTTGGTTCTGGCCAAGCTCTTGGTGGCCACAAAAGATCTCACCTTTCGGGCTCCTCGAGATCAATGGCTGCTGGAAAAACTGAAGTTCGAGAGAGTTTCATAGATCTCAACCTGCCAGCTCCTCAGGAAGAAGATGATTTTAGCGTGCTATCTGATGCTTGAATTGAAACTGTAAAAAGTAACAGACTTTTCCACCAAAACCTGGATCCAAGGTAAAAAAAAACAGAATTTGATTGTTTTGAGTAATGAGATCAAATGGGTGAAAACTGAAAACTCTTTTTTCAGTTTTTCATTCAAAGATCAAAAACCAAATATTGTTCTTTTCAGCTATTGGGAATTGTTCATTTTCTTGACCATTATTCATTTGTTTCTGTACTTTGAAGTTTCAACAACTGTTTGGTCAAGTTCCAACTGCAGTAACAACTTGTTATGTATTTGTTGTTGACTAGAATACAGTGACTAAAATACAGAAAGTTGAATTGTTTTTCGTATTGTATTATATTAGCAACATTAGCAAAATTCAAGTAATCGGTATTTTTTTTTTTTCGAGTAAGCGATAATCGTATTCATAACTTCAAGTAATGGGTTTTAGTTGTAAAGTCAAGTGGTGTTTGTTTTAGCTCAATAATAACTGATTAGTAATTAAATTAGGTACAACCTCCGTTGTTAGATGCATGAATAGCATTTTAGTTGCAGTTGTAAAAGTATCTTTTGCTTGTGGATCAAAACATGTTCTGGGTTTTATTGTCAATGTGCTGTGCTGCTTCTGCTTCTGCTTCTGTTTCCCCTGCTTCAGGTCCAGTTTTCCAGTTATTCTTGTAAATTGTCCCATCTCATTTTGAAAAAACAAAATAAATTATATATAAAAAGTTGATGTTCTTTCCATGATTGTTTTCTTTGTCCCATTTGTTCTCTCTCTCTCTCTCTCCCTCTCTCTTTCTCTCTCTCAATAGACTCAATTGGTTTGTTTTAGCTTGAAGCATTGGATCAAATGATTTGCGAGGGTGAAGGTGAACCAACAAACTTGGAAACTTTTGACAAAAAATGACCAAAAATTGAAATTGATGAACCAATGAACTTTTTTTTTTTTTTTTTTTTTTTTTTTTTTTTTTTTTTTTTTTTTTTTCCCTCCCCCCCCCCCCCCCCTTTGCTTTGTTATTGATTTTTTGTTTGAACATTTTGATTGACTGGAGAGAGATCCCAATCCCTTCAGTTTCTGAACATAATAAAATATCTGCCTTGAAATGAACGATGTATCCGGGCAATAGGAGGTGCCAGCCATCTGCCATGCTACTATTCTTATCGAAGAATCAGTCAGACGCTAGGATTTATTAAATCCTCGTATGGAAATTTAATATGCAATTTAAATTCGTAGAGGATTTTCAATAAAAGAGAAATATTCATAAAAGATTAGTGTCAATAACAAGGGCATTTTATTATGCCCACAAGTAGGGCACTTTGAAAAAAAATTTACTTATAACGGGGATAATACTATTTTGCTATCTTCGGTCAATAACACAATAATATGTGAAAAAGTTATTCTACGTATTACTACTTTATTGCTCGGGATAACAAAAAATGTTATTTCCATTACATGAGAATTTCTCTCGGTGGTTAGGGCCCATTTGGTTCACGAAATGGATTTGAGGGAAAATCATTTCTCATGTTATTTACCAAGGGATGGAAGATTCATTTCTCATGTTTGGTAATGCTGGGAAAGTAACTGGGAGATTTTGTTTAATTTACCCATACTAAATCAAATAAAAAATGCATTTAATGATATATTGTAATTCTAAATTGTTAATGGGGGACATAATAGTAATGAAAAATGTGCATTTAATGTTGGCTCATTTTCCCAAACTTTCCATAAGAAGGGAAAACAAAATCCAAGGAGAGACGAGGAGGGCTTCACTTTCCTATGTGTCAGACAATCATTTCACATGCCTGAACTCACCAAATATAGGAAAGCAATTAATTTCTCATCTCCAAGCCTTCTTTCCCATGAACCAAACGAGGCCTTAGTTGTTATATGGTCTTGTCGGGTTTTTTTATTTTATTTTTTTACACGTGTGATTTGTTGGTTCATAAAATCAACTCGAAGTAGAGTAAAGCTAGATGTACCATATAAAGATACGATTATAGATTGCCGGTTTGTTTGAGAGTGCTGCTTTTTTGGTCAAAGGGATTTGTTTGGGAGTGTTTCTATAGAAACATATTGAAAGTGCTTTTTATATCAAATATTGTTACAAGTACTTCTTATACAGAAGTGAAACTCACGGGTATAAGCGAGTTCAATTTTTATTAGAGATGTGTATCATGAAATGCTAGATCAGGGGTGGAGCTATTTACAGGGCTGAAGTGGCCTTGCCCCCTCCATCTTCTCATCTCCTTTACCATATAAAGAGTATATGCAGAAATTACAGAAAAAATACCATAATTTTAAGCTTGTAGCCCCCCAAGACGTCAAACTCTACCTCCGCCACTGTGCTAGGTAGCTGACAAATGTGACTTGCTCAGCTAACTATCCTCTGTTTTTCCATCCAAGAAAAAGTAGGAAAATTATAGAGAGATAAAACAGAGACAGTGTTTGGAAGCATTTGTCTTGGACACTCGGCTGCCCTTATTTTTGTGCAGTCTAATGATTCTGCATTTGCTTTGACCAAAAGGCAAACAATGCTTGAGAAATACTGGCTTTTTCTTTCCCATCCGGCCTCCTTTGCTTTAACATCTTTATTAATTATTCAATGCTAAAACTCTTTTGCTTTTAAACCCCTAAAATTATTCAACGCTAGGTTGTGGTCAAGCCACAGAAAGTCATTTAACGTTGTATTAACTGTATGTAGTTATTTGTATTTATTTATATTAGTTTGTGTGGCTGAGGACCTTAGACCTGAATTACAAATGCAATCTATCGCTTTTTTCTAAAAATTAACATGATATTTTTTGGGGGGCGCTTAAATAACATGTTGACATGACCTATGTTAATGTTATGTAAAGACTTTTCTTCTTTTTGTTTAAATGAGACCTAAAAATTTGAAGAGGAAGTGAAGAATAATAATAGCTCTTACCAACCGAGTTGTGAGTCCCTACCTTATTTAAAGACTTCATTACAGGATAACTTGTTACTCGTGATCTTTGTCATTCAATGAGAAGTTCCATTCTAAAGAAAGGGTTGAGTTTTTTGCCCCTTAGAAGCAAAAAAACTTACTTGTAATGGGTATATCACTATTTTGCTATTCCGGTCAATAATATAATGACATATTAAAAATTTATCCGACATGTCATTATGTTATTGGTCGGGAATTGCAAAAAGTGATATTCCCGTTGCATGATAATTTCTCTCTTTAGACTCTAATAGTTGGTTAAATTTCAAAAACTAAAAATGCTTATTGGGATTTGAATCATTGAATTTCAGTCAAACAGTTGATAATCATGAATTTATAAATAGTGAGTAAGAAAACTTATTAAGATGGATCCTCTTTGTTAAAAGGTTTTGGGATTCAAAGATCGGGACCCTCCATTTGATATTTATCCATGTAACGATCATCCATACAAAATGAACAAGTATGACAATCAGTTAGTCATCTAACTATGACCAAATAAATAGACCAACAAAGTGACTCATAAAACAATTGATAATTCAATACTCATATGATTTTCAATTTTACTGATTATTTTTAAATTAAAAAAAATACAAATGATAGTATAAACTATATGGTGTTTCTCACACACACTACTAAGGTGCTATGAAGTTCAAATATAAGACCATTAGTATGCAAGTCAAGACTCTTTTTCACTGGACTAAACCTCGTTGAATACATTTTATTCATGTGAATCTAAAATGACAATATGATGCCTTTTGACTCTCTTCAAAAGAGATGCCCCTTAAGAAAGATTTATATACCTTTTTTTTTGGTAGCCATCATGTAGAAAATTTGAAGTCAGAAAAAAAAAAAATTTATAATACAAATAGATAAAATAATTCTAGTTAAATTATAAATTACTCCAATGTAGTGGAATGGACGCACTTATCTTGGCCAATTGGCAAACCACATCTACAATGTAAACAACTGATTTGACTGTTGTAATTTCGATTAGTTTGTTAATTAAAAAGAAAAAAGAACAATGTCCTTTATTTACCCGAGCAACGAGTCCATATCAAGAATTGTGTTCCTTACGATATAGAAAGGACCACCAAAGCTCTGCTCATCTTGCTACATAGCAAACCATTAAAGGCTTAATCCGATGATTTTATTATTATTATCCATTGTTCCAATTCTGGTTAGGAATTAAATACTAAAGAAATTCGTAATTGTTCTTGGAGATATAGATTTGCTAGTTGTTTTGTCATATTGAAATGATTAAAAATGCTTTTTAACAACTAAAAACGTGTTTAACAACGTTCAGCAGAAAATTAAAAGTACTAGAAAGTGTTTTTTTTTCTTCCTCCGAAAAACACTTGGTTTTTTAGTAAAAATTTTGACGTGCTTTAAATAAAAGCGCTTCTTAAAAAAACGCTTATGAGCAAAAGTGCAGAAACAATTCCCAACAGGCTTGCAATCAATCTTTGAAGTTCAAATTAAGCTTTAATAATCATATTATAATCGTATTACATGCATTACGTGTGTAGCATATGAATCTTGTCTAGTTGTCTAGCTTTTATTCTTTATTTTTTACTTGCTTTTTCTTTTTCTTTTTTGATATCGAGGAACCCCCTTCAAGGCACAGCCACATTAGAATCATCCATGTCAGGTAGACCCCCCGGGGGTAGAACTCAGAGGTCAGCTATTTTTCTTTCTTTTGGTTGCGGGGGAGGGCCATTTGTGTAGCTTTACTAACTCTGTCTTCACGTGATCCAATTAAGCACATGAAAGTTTTTATTTTCATACCATCTAATCGCGCTCCCAACAAAGAGCACTGGACAATTCTATATAGTTCATCAAGACCACCTGCTTTGCCTAATTTTCTACAGAATTCCTAAATTCCTTTGATTCATTCAAAACAGGGCAATGGCGTATGTTAATTTTAAAATTTTCACTTTTATCAAAATTCTAAGTTTATCTTTCCTGTCCAAACACGGAGTGAATTTACAATTTGACTCCAATCACATTGCGATGGCCTAACTCACATATGTAATTATACCTCGTTTGATTGATTCATAAGCAAATACGGTAAAACTCAGTCCGATTTGAAGCAATAAAGATTATAAAAGTAAGCACAACCAAGATACATGATTCATTACAAGGCTTAAACATAGTATATATACTCTCTTTTTTTGGTGTTACAACCCACTTATTGGGGAAAACCAATTCAATCATGTTTAACTGCTACTTATCACGCAATTTTCAAACTTTAGAAATAACTTGTGGCAGAGGCTTTATCTTCCCCAGCAACTTTTCAGCCTCAAGAAATCCAAATGGTCCAATGGCTATATATTTCATACACTTCCATCTGTTCAAGTATAATCAGGTATGTCAGTGTAGTGGACATGTAGGATCTCAGAGAAACCTCAGACATATAGCAAACTGTGAAAGCCTGAAATAGCTTTACCTGGGTGTGTATGGCAGTGCGAAACAATGGAGGTGAAGATGGTTAACAGAGTTGAATGGAGGTTGATGAAAGCCAAATCTATCAGAAGGACAGTCTAAAATCACACTCAAAACTTTTTCACAACCGAAGTCGTTTGGAGAACATTTGATCAAAACGAGAAAAATCAACTATCATTTTTACTCAATCGTTTTGTCCGATTAATGATGCATGCATGCCTGGTCTAATTCCAGTTTGATTATTCACTTATTGTGTGTAATCACTCAAGGATTCACAAGTATTCTTACAAACTCAATTACAGAAAGATCCTCTTCCAAAGAAGATGCAGAGGAACCAATTGGTCAGGGTATACGCCAGATTACAGAATTTATGAAGATTCACATTCTTCACCAGCCCATTTCTGCATTAAGCAATCTCCTAGACATGATTGCAGAAATTTTTCTTTTTGTTCGAATCCTTTGGTCGTGCAATAACAAGTTTTTAAGCATGTAGTCTTTGGTGAAAGAACGAGAACAGTGTTCTAAAGAAACTTCAGTTAAGTTATGCTGTATAAAAAACAAGGATTATTCAGTTTTTTGTTTTCTCTCTTACAATGTATTCATTCTTCAGTTTCGTTTTTCCAAAATTTCATTGCTCTTTTTTTTTCATAAGAGAAAGAGGCTCCTGGACGATAACCTAATAAAAGAATAATTAAAATGCATATAAATGCAGTTTTCTGGAAGGTGTGTAACTAATGTGGACAGCATAATGGCTTGAAACAAAATTTAACACAAATTTACATGAAGGGTACCTCCATGAAAGCCTATATATTTTTAGTATAAGCAACTTAGGACAATAGCTTCTCAAGTCAAGATCAATCTATCTGAGCACACAATTACAAACCAGAAAATAATGCTAAGAAAAAGAGATTTTCAAGAACAAGGCAATACCTGTACCGATGGCATTGAGGTGCATCTCGTTGAATTAGCGTTTTCCCCACTTCTAACATGTGATTTACTGAATACCAATAAAACAATGGAATATAAGATTACGAAATTTATTGATGACCAAAGGCAAGAAAATTCCCAAATTTGTTCAATCATGTATGATTTAATCTAAAGTTGTCAACATTTAGATTACCCAAAGAGTAGTCTTCAGGTTTCCTTTGAAGATCCTTAACAGTTGGAATGTGATCCACAGGAATAACCAAGTAATGCCTACACAAAATTGTCATCTGACTCTCTCTCTTTCTCACTTCAATCAAAATGGCTAAATATTGATGAATGGAAATTGGGGAAATTCATCCAGTACCTTACAGCAGCCGGGCGGATGTCTTGAAAAGCAACGACCTTGTCATCCTGCAGGAAAACCCAGTGACCAATTACAGCCTTAGGATCAACAAAAGTACCAAAATCACTGTTTGGTTACTGAGAAAAAGGAAATGGGATTAACCCATTTGGCAGCTCACCTTCAAACCAAGTAAAAGCGAGAGAGAGAGAGAGAGAGAGAGAGAGAGAGCAGACAGTGTGGAGGAGAGTGGTAGAGGTGGATTTGCTGGCGATCTGGCAGAAGATGCACTGTGAAGCTGCTTCTGCTGCCGCCATTGACGCGTTCCTGGAAGTTGGAGGTTCCTCTGTGCTTTTTGTCATATCATTTTATTTTGGTATTTGGATTGGATGACACTTGGGTTTGGGAGAGTTAACCTGAAATGGAACGGACTCGGACTTTTCCTTCTGCTGCTGCCTTATTTATTCTTTTCGTGTCGATACTGCATTCTTCGATCGACACTTCAGCTTCTTTGTTGAACATTTTCTTAACATCAGTTATTGTAACAAATGACATAAAGTTAAAAATATGCATTTTCTCTGAAAACTGGGATAGGAGGAGTAATGGTGAAGTTTAAAATATTTGGAATTTGAGACACTCATGAAAGAGCATATCCAATGGAGTATGCAAATGAAATAAGCAAAATTGTACTATAACAACTTAGGTAGCATGTTGCTTACTTATTTGCCTCATGAAAAAGGTTGGTCACTCCAAGCCAAAAAACTTACTTGTAACTGTTTCGCTATCTCCGACCAATAACACAATGACACGTGAAAAAGTTATCCTACGTGTCATTGAGTTATTGGCCTTGGATAGTAAAAAGTAATATTCCCGTTGCATGAGAGTTTCTCTCCACTTTAAGAGCACCTCCACCCCAAAGGGCAAGGGCAAGGCAAAGGCAAGGCAAGGTTTGTCACTATTCACGTGAATAGTGGCAGCCTTGCCTTTTTTGTTTCCACTTCAAAAAGGTAAGGGCAATGACAATTACTATTTACTTTAATTCATTTTCTATTTTTTATACTTAAACCATTAATTTTAATAAGATTTTCGAAAAATTCTCAATTGCCACGTGTCACTATTTATTATAAAATTCTCATATCAAATTTCAGATAAAATTTTTGAATAAGATTTTAGGATTAAATTTTAGGATAAAATTTTTGGTTACCACGTGTCCACATTTATTATAAAATTCACATCTCACTCATCATACAATTGAAGTACTCCTAGTCCTCATAGTCCGACACAATCGAGTACAAGGACGACTCAATTATTGGCAGAGGTGGTTCCTGACAGGACCCGACCCAAATTCCACTTTGGAATCCGAGCCGAACCCTGTTCGTGATCGACACCTGGCGGGTGCCGAGCACAATTGACTTGGTTGCCCTTTTTCTGATTAGAAACTTAATTCCCTTAAATCTTAACTTCTACCGAAAATTCGACAGAGTCTCCCCTGTAAATCAAACGTTCCCAAAATTTACACCTGTCAAACAAGCACTTAAATATAAATACACCAACTGCCAGCATACAAAATAAGTAAGTTCCAACAGTTAAATACGTTCCAGGGCAATGTCAGAGCAACTATACAGATTTATTTACAAGGATGTAACCACTTGCGAAGCAAGGAACCCTACATCAAAACGAGGAAGAGCGGGATGCGGAAATGCCCGGTGGTGGCTCTCAGATGCACGTCTACAGCCTGGGGGCGCAAAACATTAAAAAGGTGAGTGGACCCAAAAACAAAGTTTAGAAAATACATATGAACATACTAACCCCACTGTAAAAGCAATTATAAAAACTAAAATCATTCTCTTCTGTATATACGTACTGAAACCAATGCACTCATATATACATATATAAATATGTCAATCATGTTCATGGTCAACATCAATCTCTTAAAAGCATTGAAACCAGTTTAAAACTACCACTTAGGTGTACCCCTTTATTTCCGTCAATTCCTGTTATCCGTCAATTCCCCTCGCATCACCATTGGTGACACGTCCTCGCAGGTCTCGGTGACACAAAGTCAATCCGAGCTGCAACCTCGCAGGATTCAGGGGACCTTGGTCAACCTGATCCGCGTCCTCGCTCCACACGAGTCCGGGTACCATAGAACTCGTGGGCAGCTGTCAAGCATGCTGACTAAACTGAAGGTAACTGATAAAATCCGAAGGCAACCTAGATGTCCGTGGACATCATCATATCCGAAGGCAACATCTGTATATCTGGGTACCTCAAGTGGCTTAGAAAATAACAATAACAATAATAATAAGCAAAGTTTTGAAAGATCTGGTAAATAATTGAATTTCCGTTAAGATTGGACTCTGCTGCCATTTATCTGATGTTTAACAAAAATTCTCTTTCTCTATATCCCTAAAGGATATTCCACTCGGCAGCATGCAAATCATAATATTTAAAAGCATGTCTCACTTATAAAATACTATTCTTTGAATAAAACTTGTTCAAGATCAAATACTGAAACTAAATTGCATAAATTCATTTATGAAAACAAAGAGTCCACTCACGGTTGGTCCGAGCTCGCTGGACCTTTGGAAGGTCCCTCCTGCGGGTCAACTGGTGCCCGAGTGCCTGATTCAAATATCATAATAAAATATATTAATAAAACTGCTTGATATAAATATTTAAATAAAACCCTGACCCCCGGCTTCTAGAAGTGCGTGCATCAATTTAAAGTTATTCCTATGCCCACATTACGTTCCTTTAATCCTAGGACATTCGTCCCGTGAATCTGGTTTCGATCGGACGGTTAGATTCGTCACGATCACACGATCGACGATTCTAAACCCTTAACCCTAGGGTTTGCGATTTCGGAGTATCTGGGACTCCGATTCACGATCCGTCGAATCCTACACAATCCTGGCAAGGTCTAGATTAACATATCTGAAAGTGATCATGATCCAACGGTTCGAAACTATTGAACCCGGATAACGCACAAAATGTAAAAGTCCGCTTAACACTCAAACGACGTCCGAATTGAGATCCGCGAATTTCTACACGCTCGTGAGAATACGAGGATCATTCTGAAACTGAGAGTGGTCCCCTCCAGACTGCCCACGCGCCGCCACACGCGCTGGCAGCTTGGGTGGCTTGAGAAATTTCCGGTGGCCGGAAAAACTCCAAACCGCCGGCCCAAACTCCTAACTTAGGTAAAACACCCAATTTGGAACCACTTTTGTTCTTGGACCTACCCCAAAAAGTGATCGGAAGTGGCCGGAATCACACTCTCAAAACCGGCTGAAACTTAAGTTGAGAATCGAACGATTTATGCTTGAAATTTCTAAAATCCTACCCAACCAGCAGCTAAGTCACGAAAAATAGGTAGGAATCCATACCTCACTCGTCTGATTTGGTGGAGAATCGAGGGAGAACGAGCGATGAGAAAATCTGTCAAAACCCGCACGATTTTCTGCGTTTTCCGGTGGCTGCTGGCGGTGGTTACGGCTGAGCTTGGTCGGACTTGGAAGAGGAAGCGGCGGTGGTTCGATTGGGTCCGGTCTCGTCGGCCGGAGTGGAGTGTGGCGGTGGTTATGGAGGAGAGAAGGTGGCGGGTTGAAACAGGGGGGGGGGCTGTGTCGCGAGGAAGAAGAGTGAGGCAGGAGAGAGAAAGTCGGTGGTTTAAAAAAAATCCTGATCTCGAAAATTACCATTTTGCCCTTGGAAGTAGTTTGACCGTATTTTCTTCGTTATAACTCCAAATCGAGCCCACTATGTGTCTACGGACTCGTTTCGTCGCGCTCTACGCAACTGTGCAAACAAAATTCCCAAACTCATCTCCGGTCAAAAAGTCAACTTCTTAATTACTAAAATAGTCTAAGGGCAAAAGTGTCATTTTTCCTTAATAAACTAATAGTTAAATATTAATTAAAGTTTGGGTTATTACAATCTCCCCCCCTTAACAAAATTTCATCCTCGAAATTTACGTACCTGTCATTCGAAGAGGTAAGGATACTGTTCCCGCATTTGGTCCTCGGGTTCCCATGTAGCCTCTTCCACAGTATGACTTCTCCACAAGACCTTTACAAGAGGGATCTCTCTCGATCGTAACACTTGCGTCTTCCAATCCAAAATCTGAACTGGTTGCTCCACATAAGTCAAATCTTCTTGCAATTCTATTGGTTGTTCCTCCAAAACATGAGAAGGATCAGAAATATACTTTCGGAGCATTGAAACATGAAACACATCGTGTAACCGAGAAAGATCTGAAGGCAAAGCAAGCCTGTAAGCTACTGGGCCGACACGCTCCACAATCTTATAAGGCCCAATATAGCGAGGACTTAGTTTTCCCCGCCTTCCAAATCTCATTATGCCCTTCCAAGGTGATAACTTCAGAAATACCCAATCACCAACCTCAAACTGAAGGTCTTTCCTTCTATTGTTCGCATAACTCTTTTGTCGGTCTTGGGCTGCCTTAAGTCGTTCTCTAATTATTTTCACCTGTTCCTTTGTCCGCTCAACATCATCGGACACTTCCAATCTGTTCTCACCCACTTCATCCCAATAGAATGGAGTTCTACACTGTTTTCCATACAAGGCATCATATGGGGACATCTTAATACTCGCCTGGTAACTGTTATTATAGGCAAATTCCATAAGTGGCAACTTCTCATCCCAGTCACCCCGGAACTACAATGCGCAAGCTCTTAGCATGTCTTCTAAAGTCTGGATTATCCTTTCAGATTGACCATCTGTCTGGGGGTGAAATGCAGTACTAAATCGTAATTGAGTTCCAAAAGCTTCATTTAACCTTGCCCAAAAACGGGAGGTAAACCGTGGATCTCTATCTGAAATAATAGATACTGGCACCCCATAAAGTCTCACTATCTCGTCTATGAAGATCTTGGCCAACTTATTTAGGGTGTAGTTTACTCTCACTGGTAGAAAATGAGCAGATTTAGTGAGTCGATCCACGATTACCCAAACTCCATCATGCTTATTTTGTGTTCGGGGAAGATTGAACACGAAATCCATAGTAATATGCTCCCACTTCCATTCAGGAATTGGAAGTGGTTGCAATAACCATGATGGTTTCTGCCGTTCAGCTTTCACTTGCTGGCAAATTAAGCACTTACTGACATACTCTGCTATCTCTTTCTTCATAAAAGGCCACCAGTAATGCTCTCTCAAGGTATGATACATTTTAGTGCTTCCAGGATGCATTGCAAAAGCTGAACTATGAGCCTCCTCAAGAATTTCCCTTTTTAAGGCTTGATCATTAGGGACATATAGCCTGGTACCCACCATTAAAGCTCCATCACTTCTTACTGAACAATCAGTTCTGTCGCCATTCTCCACTTCTAATCGCAATGTGCAAATCAAAGGATCCTGGGATTGAGCGGCGACTATTCGCTCCACTAGTACTGGTCTAACATGGAGAGTAGCTAACAATGCTCCCTGATCATCCACACTTAGTTCAACTCTGAGCTTCCTCATCTCCACCATAATTGGCACATAACTCCCTCTGATATAAGCTATAGATCCTGAGGATTTCCTGCTGAGTGCATCAGCTACAACATTAGCTCTTCCCGGATGATGCTCAATAGTACAATCATAATCTTTAATCAACTCTAGCCATCTTCTTTGCCTCAAATTCAGTTCCTTTTGAGTGAATAGATACTTCAAACTCTTGTGATCTGTAAAAATCCGACATGTTTCTCCATAAAGATAGTGTCGCCAAATCTTCAAGGCAAAAACCACTGCAGCTAACTCCAAATCATGAACAGGGTAATTCAACTCATGCTTCTTAAGTTGCCTAGAAGCATAAGCGATCACCCTACCATGCTGCATTAACACACAACCAAGTCCCTGTTGGGATGCATCACTGTAGATAACGAAGTTCCCGTTATCATCCGGAAGTGCTAAAACCGGAGCGGTGGTCAACCTGGTCTTGAGTTCATTGAAGCTCTCCTCGCATTCATCTGACCATTCAAACTTCATTCCTTTCCTTGTCAAACGAGTAAGAGGCGCCGCTATAGCAGAAAACCCTTCCACGAAGCGACGATAGTACCCGGCTAACCCAAGGAAACTCCGTACCTCCGTAACACTGGTTGGTCGTGGCCAGTTCACTACTGCCTCAATCTTCTGGGGATCAACACAAATACCCTCTGCAGAGATTACATGCCCCAAGAAACTAACTTTATCTAACCAGAATTGGCATTTACTGAATTTAGCATACAACTGCCTCCTCCTCAAAGTCTTCAGTACAATTTCCAAATGTTTCATGTGTGCCTTCTGATTCTTGGAATACACCAGAATGTCGTCTATGAACACAATCACAAAGCGATCCAAGTAACGTCGGAACACCCTGTTCATGAGATCCATAAATGCAGCTGGTGCATTCGTCAACCCAAATGGCATCACCAAGAACTCATAGTGCCCATATCTCGTTCGAAAAGCTGTCTTAGGCACATCCTCTTCTCTAATCCGTAACTGATGATACCCAGATCTCAGATCAATCTTAGAGAATACCTTGGCACCCTTTAACTGGTCGAACAAATCATCAATGCGAGGCAAAGGATACTTATTTCGCACTGTGACCTTGTTCAACTGTCTGTAGTCAACACATAGCCTCATGGTTCCATCCTTCCTCTTAACAAATAACACTGGAGCGCCCCAAGGTGAAAAACTAGGTCGGATGAAACCTTTATCTACTAACTCCTGCAACTGAGTCTTTAGTTCCCTCAACTCTGCTGGTGCCATTCTATACGGCGCTTGAGAGATAGGACTCGTTCCTGGAATGAGCTCAATGGTGAACTCGATCTCCCGGTGAGGAGGTAGCCCAGGAAGATTCTCAGGGAATACATCCGGAAACTCTTGTACCACTGGAACATCTTCCAATCTCAACCCCTTATCTCTGGTATCAAACACATGTGCTAAATATCCTGGGCACCCTTTTCTAAGCAACCGTTTTGCCGTCATAGCAGAGATGAGACAAGATGGGAGCACTCTACGTTCGCCATAAAATGTCACTTCAGGTCGTCCAGGACTACGGAAAACAACCTCTTTTCGGAAGCAATCTACTGAGGCATGATGTCTGGCTAACCAATCCATCCCTAGAATGACATCCAAGTCAACCATTTCCAAGGGAATCAAGTCTGCCTCCAGAATTACATCTCCCACTAACACTATACTATCTCGATACACTGTACCAACCTTAAAAATTTCTCCTGTAGGCACAGAGATCGCTAGTTCATTCCGTAAGGCTGAAAGTCTTACATTAGCATTGTGGGCGAAACTAGGTGTAACAAAGGAATGCGTAGCCCCAGGGTCAATCAACACTCTAGCAGGAACTCCAAAAACTGGTAAAATACCTGTGATCACGTCCGGTGACGCCTGTGCTTCCTGCTGGGACATACTGTACACCCTGCCTGTGGCTCTAGAGCGTCCACCACGTCCCCTCTGCTGATTGCCACCTCTGCTAGCAACACTGGTTTGGGCCCCAGCACTGGACGAGGCCCCTCCAAACTGAGATGTCCCTTGAGATCCGCCCTGAGTGCCCGTCCCATGAGTCGATGCAACTGTAGTCTCTCCACCCTGTAGAAACATCGGGCACTCCCTCAGAAAATGTCCAGGCTGACCACAGTGGTAACACTCAGTGGTGCCCTGTCGGCAAGTCCCAGAATGGTACCTACCACATTGAGCACACTGAATACGATTCTTCTTCCCAAAGGCCGACTGCAACTGTCTCCCAGTACCTCTGGCTGTACTGCTCCCGGAGCGGTTCCCAGAACTACCACTCTGATTAGAACCTCCGCTAGAACTGGCTCCGAGTCGGAAACCTCCATAACTGCGGCCACTAGATGACCCCGAGCTATAACTGCCTCTCTTAGATGACCCCTGACTGGGACCACCCATGTCAAACTGTCTCCTGCGAGGTTCACCCCGCGCTTTGACCATCATCTGACTGCTCTCTATCAGCGAAGCAGACATCACCAAATCCCCAAAGTTAGTCAGTCGCTGACTAATCACAATGTCTCGAATGGAGGCTTTTAACCCTCTAGTAAACAACTGGCACTTCTTGTTTCATCCTCTACTAGTGGAATACAATACTTAGACAATTCATTGAACTTCTTCTCATACTCAAGTACTGTCATCGCTCCTTGCTCCAGCTGCAGAAACTCTTCCATTTTCAAATTCTGGTAAGCCAGTGGATAATACTGACTATCAAATGCGACTCGAAATAATTGCCAAGTGATGGCCGATGGATCCCGATATCTCCTCTTAACTGATTCCCACCAATGTCTAGCATTTCTAACCAAAAAGAATGTGGCTAGGGCCACTCTGTAATTCTGGGGAACCCTCATCACGTCCATAATTCGCTCCATCCTTTCTATCCATTCCTCAGCCACTGTTGGATCACCATCACCATCAAAATCTGTGGCCCCTATTCTCTTAGCTTGGTCAGCATATCCCAGAGAGAGATCTCGAGTCTGCCCGGTCCTGGATAGAGCCTGAGTCAACAACTCCAAAGTCTGCTGGAAGTTGGGATCTCCCGGCATAGTGGGCACGGCCGGAGCGGCCCCTGATGGACCTCCAACAAAAGACTGCTCTACCGGGTCTGGCACCGGTGTAGGAATGGGGATTTCCTCTTGCTCGGGCGGGGGATCCCGTCCCCTAACTCGGGACGACTGTCTAGTCCCTCTACGAAAGCCACCACGTTTAGGGCCCATGCTTACTGTCACAAGAAACAGATGTTCAGTAAACTGGGATGCACAAAGTGCGGAGTCTACAGGAAATTAAACCTAATGCTCTGATACCAAGTTGACAGGACCCGACCCAAATTCCACTTTGGAATCCGAGCCGAACCCTGTTCGTGATCGACACCTGGCGGGTGCCGAGCACAATTGACTTGGTTGCCCTTTTTCTGATTAGAAACTTAATTCCCTTAAATCTTAACTTCTACCGAAAATTCGACAGAGTCTCCCCTGTAAATCAAACGTTCCCAAAATTTACACCTGTCAAACAAGCACTTAAATATAAATACACCAACTGCCAGCATACAAAATAAGTAAGTTCCAACAGTTAAATACGTTCCAGGGCAATGTCAGAGCAACTATACAGATTTATTTACAAGGATGTAACCACTTGCGAAGCAAGGAACCCTACATCAAAACGAGGAAGAGCGGGATGCGGAAATGCCCGGTGGTGGCTCTCAGATGCACGTCTACAGCCTGGGGGCGCAAAACATTAAAAAGGTGAGTGGACCCAAAAACAAAGTTTAGAAAATACATATGAACATACTAACCCCACTGTAAAAGCAATTATAAAAACTAAAATCATTCTCTTCTGTATATACGTACTGAAACCAATGCACTCATATATACATATATAAATATGTCAATCATGTTCATGGTCAACATCAATCTCTTAAAAGCATTGAAACCAGTTGAAAACTACCACTTAGGTGTACCCCTTTATTTCCGTCAATTCCCGTTATCCGTCAATTCCCCTCGCATCACCATTGGTGACACGTCCTCGCAGGTCTCGGTGACACAAAGTCAATCCGAGCTGCAACCTCGCAGGATTCAGGGGACCTTGGTCAACCTGATCCGCGTCCTCGCTCCACACGAGTCCGGGTACCATAGAACTCGTGGGCAGCTGTCAAGCATGCTGACTAAACTGAAGGTAACTGATAAAATCCGAAGGCAACCTAGATGTCCGTGGACATCATCATATCCGAAGGCAACATCTGTATATCTGGGTACCTCAAGTGGCTTAGAAAATAACAATAACAATAATAATAAGCAAAGTTTTGAAAGATCTGGTAAATAATTGAATTTCCGTTAAGATTGGACTCTGCTGCCATTTATCTGATGTTTAACAAAATTCTCTTTCTCTATATCCCTAAAGGATATTCCACTCGGCAGCATGCAAATCATAATATTTAAAAGCATGTCTCACTTATAAAATACTATTCTTTGAATAAAACTTGTTCAAGATCAAATACTGAAACTAAATTGCATAAATTCATTTATGAAAACAAAGAGTCCACTCACGGTTGGTCCGAGCTCGCTGGACCTTTGGAAGGTCCCTCCTGCGGGTCAACTGGTGCCCGAGTGCCTGATTCAAATATCATAATAAAATATATTAATAAAACTGCTTGATATAAATATTTAAATAAAACCCTGACCCCCGGCTTCTAGAAGTGCGTGCATCAATTTAAAGTTATTCCTATGCCCACATTACGTTCCTTTAATCCTAGGACATTCGTCCCGTGAATCTGGTTTCGATCGGACGGTTAGATTCGTCACGATCACACGATCGACGATTCTAAACCCTTAACCCTAGGGTTTGCGATTTCGGAGTATCCGGGACTCCGATTCACGATCCGTCGAATCCTACACAATCCTGGCAAGGTCTAGATTAACATATCTGAAAGTGATCATGATCCAACGGTTCGAAACTATTGAACCCGGATAACGCACAAAATGTAAAAGTCCGCTTAACACTCAAACGACGTCCGAATTGAGATCCGCGAATTTCTACACGCTCGTGAGAATACGAGGATCATTCTGAAACTGAGAGTGGTCCCCTCCAGACTGCCCACGCGCCGCCACACGCGCTGGCAGCTTGGGTGGCTTGAGAAATTTCCGGTGGCCGGAAAAACTCCAAACCGCCGGCCCAAACTCCTAACTTAGGTAAAACACCCAATTTGGAACCACTTTTGTTCTTGGACCTACCCCAAAAAGTGATCGGAAGTGGCCGGAATCACACTCTCAAAACCGGCTGAAACTTAAGTTGAGAATCGAACGATTTATGCTTGAAATTTCTAAAATCCTACCCAACCAGCAGCTAAGTCACGAAAAATAGGTAGGAATCCATACCTCACTCGTCTGATTTGGTGGAGAATCGAGGGAGAACGAGCGATGAGAAAATCTGTCAAAACCCGCACGATTTTCTGCGTTTTCCGGTGGCTGCTGGCGGTGGTTACGGCTGAGCTTGGTCGGACTTGGAAGAGGAAGCGGCGGTGGTTCGATTGGGTCCGGTCTCGTCGGCCGGAGTGGAGTGTGGCGGTGGTTATGGAGGAGAGAAGGTGGCGGGTTGAAACAGGGGGGGGGCTGTGTCGCGAGGAAGAAGAGTGAGGCAGGAGAGAGAAAGTCGGTGGTTTAAAAAAAATCCTGATCTCGAAAATTACCATTTTGCCCTTGGAAGTAGTTTGACCGTATTTTCTTCGTTATAACTCCAAATCGAGCCCACTACGTGTCTACGGACTCGTTTCGTCGCGCTCTACGCAACTGTGCAAACAAAATTCCCAAACTCATCTCCGGTCAAAAAGTCAACTTCTTAATTACTAAAATAGTCTAAGGGCAAAAGTGTCATTTTTCCTTAATAAACTAATAGTTAAATATTAATTAAAGTTTGGGTTATTACAGTTCCACTGTATCATGACGTGGGGGAGTATTTTCCTTTAGAGAACGTAATAGTGCCATTATTTTCTACACGAAAAGTACCACTAGAACCAACTGTGGGCATTGTTCACTTGAGGAGCCATGTATAATGGTTTTCCTCTTTTTGTTTTGCCTTGAATAATCTATTAAAAAAATAAAATTGAAAATGCAAGAAATATTTAATTAAAAAAAAATTAAATTGAATAAAACAGCAATTAATTTTTATTTTTTTTATCTCGTCGCCAAGATTTTGACCACTTCAAACGTTTGTCCACTATCCAACTTTGATGGAAAATGCCATTTGTATTTTTCCACAAATGAAATTTTGTAGTAGAAAATTTGGTGTGTAAAGTGTAAAATATTAGAAGGAGATGAATTTGTATGAAGATTTGGTGTGGAAATTGAATAATATTGGTAAGTATTTATAGAAAAAAATTCCACAATTTTTTTGATATTTTTTTTCATTTTTTAAAGCCAAAAATTGGACAGCCATTGTATTGGAGGCTTCAGGAGAAGCCACGTGGCTTGACACCGTTGGTTTCTGGTAGCTGTGGGTCAAGGCTGGCATCAACAGCTTTCGAGCTATAGCCCAGTCGATTCTTGCCCATGGGCTTGCCCAGACTGATAGGTCCTACCCCTTGCCCGGGCTGGACCTTGCGCACTAGAGGGGGGTTTGGGACCTAGTGCTGTCTTTTTTTGGGCCAGACCCTTGCACTGGAGGTGGCCTAAGAGACTAGGCAATACAAATATACAAACCATTATTATATATATTTTTAATTATAATTATAATTTTTATATTTATATATCATATTATATTTTTTATATATTTATTTTTATCTTTATTTATTATATTTTTTTGGTAAACTGGAGGGCAAACGCCCAACAAAAACACTAAGGAACAATAAGCCTGGGTAAAGAAACCCTACACAAACCATATGGTTCACAACATCAGGGGCATCATCCAAAAAATGAATACCCAAAGGCTTGGCGACTCCGATGGTAGCAAGCGTATTAGCAACAAAATTACTTACTCTAAAAATCTGTTGAATTTGACACACTCCACCATTCATAATAGCTTTGCAGCAAGAGATAAGGTTGAATAAAGGGTGAAGAGGATCACAACAAGGAGCATTCACAAGCTCCACAACCAACTGGGAGTCGGACTCCACAATTAGAGGAAAACAATTAATTTGATTAGCAAGATGCAAACAATAGAGAATAGCTCACATTTCCGCCTTGTAAAACAAAACCAATCCCAATATTAGCAGAGAAACCACCAATCCAGTCCCCATTAACATTTCGAATTAAGCCCCCAGTACAAATAATCCCTTCCTCACCTTTCCGGCAACCATTAGTATTCAGTTTCCACCACCCAACAGGAGGAAAATCCCAAGCAAGGAAGACCTCAACCTTGGCATCCTTACAGTGAGAACTCAAATTGGCACAAATCCAATCATTAGCAGCTTTACAAATAAAAGGATTAGAGAGAGTAATGTGAGAAGGACTATCCTCAAAGACCTTTTTGCAGCGGTTTTTCCATGTGTGCCATAAGGCAAAATGGAAAAATAACATTCCAATTCAATTGATTCTAACAGCTCTTGCTATCCCTCACATTAAAGAAAATCCAGTCCCACACATTATAATTAAAGGATTGGCGAATATGCAAAGTAAGACCCATGGAATTCCAAACAAAGCTTGGCATTGGGGTAGTGCATAAGAAGATGAGAAATAGATTCTGAAGGCCACTTACAAATATGACAGCTCGCATCGATAGATAACCATTTGTTCCGTTGAGCTTCATTGGTAAGAATTCTACTACGACATAAGTGTTAAGAGTGTTTGTCCCACATTGAAAAATTTAAGGAATTTAGTATGAGTTTATAAGGAGTTGGGCTACTCCCCCTATTACTAATTAATTTGGGGGCGGAACCTCAACTTCCTTTATGGTATTAGAGCAAGGTTTCATGTGTTAGGCCTAACGGCCACAAGTGCTTCTACATCACCCAATATGTATTGTCTACGTGTTAAATTTAAAAGTTCGCCACACGTGCAGGGACGTGTTGAGAGTGTTTGTCCCACATTGAAAATTTTAAGGGATTTAGTATAAGTTTGTAAGGAGTTGGTCTACTCCCTTATTGCCAAGTTCTTTTTAATTGCAAAGCAAAGGTAGCTGGAGGAAGATGATGCGAAGAAGATGGGTTCAGCGAACAAGAAGCAGTAAACATTAACATAGGTCCCACTAAACAATAACAACTAGACATGCCCCACTAAACAGGGACATTGCTTGGGTCATAGCAGTAGAGCCCCACACATTTTCTTTCACACTTTAATTTTTATTTATTTTTATTGTTTTGTGGGAATCTATGTATGTTGTATATTGTAACTTCAACTTTAGTACTTCTATTTTCTTCAATTTATCTTTGTGTTGGGGGAAAACAAAGAGAATCAAGAGATTTCAGGATTTAACTAGTACATGCTCAGCACATATAAAATATTTAACTAATGAAGCTGATTTGTTAATTTAATAATAATTCATATTAAGTAATAAAATATATTATTTTAATTATCATATTATTTGCGTGTCGAATAGGAAAAATTGGATTAAAAGTTAGCCATAGTTATTTTTGAATCCTAGGTCTGTGCTTGCTAGGAGCAGAAATATGAATACAAGATATCTTGTTGACAATATCAGGAGGAAGCCACGTACAAAGTTTAGCAAAATTTCATTCACCATTAGTAATGAAATCATTTACCTTCTCTTGCAGATAATCAACCGTAAGGGTATGACAAGCAAATCTTTGAAGTGAGCCAAAAACAACCCAATGGTCAGTCCAAAACATAACAGAACAACCATCTCCTAGTCTCCATTTCAACCGGTGGAAAGAGCCCGAGGGCAGAACCATGAATTTTTCAACGGGTGGGCTAGCTAAAGTCATTAGCTTAAAATCTAATAATCATTATTTTTGGTACTTACCATTTCAATAGTCTTTCTGCAAATAGTTGGAAAAGAAGAATAACATAAGACCGCAAGCACCTCTTATATAGCAGTTGTAAGCCTTCATAATATTTGCTTCACTATTTCAAAAATAAAACAGAGAGTGAGGTTGCAGATAAAACTAAGTACAACCCCAAAGAAACTTGTTTTGAAAAGAAAGAAAGAAACTTTCTTCAGTTTTTATAATAAGGATCTGCACTATAATTTATATATATATATATATATAAATATATAGAAGGAAAAAAACAAAAGGCATACAAAAACTACAGGTTAAGTTCCAAATAGACCAGAACATCAGCTTGTCCTGTACAATAAGGAATCAAAAGAAATTATCCCAGTGAGATCCAAAAAGACAGTGTGCATAAAATATAATAATGTCCAAACAAATACAAAAAATACAAATCAATGCAAATTACCAACCAATCTGAAGAAAGAACAATATACCTGGAAGTGGAAATGAATAAAAAATCCATCAGAGCCATGAAATCTGACATTCTCCTCTACACGTGAAACTTCTTCTTTTTCTGGAAAGCATTTGATCTACAGAGTATATACTATGATTAGTAACAGTGATGTATAAAGGACGTATGACATACAATATGATAATTATAAACTAAATTGAGAAACCAAATCCCTTGGAATATGCTGCATAACCAATCCTTTTTTTTTGTTCTTTGGAAGGGAATAATAATCAGTAATTTTGAAATATAAATATTAAAATATAATCAGTAACCCAGAACCCAGATAGATAGCAAAACTATCCTCTGCAACAACTCTTGTAGCAGTGACCTGAACCAAACCAGAAAAACCAAAATGAGTTCAACTTCATAAGCTTTCATCCCAAAGAACAGATGTTGGGATTTGAAATAGGAAGGGCCCCAAATCTCTCACTGAAACCCTTGTTGACCACATAATCGTTTAATCAAAGAGAAAAACCAGAGAGAGAGAGAGAGAGTCTAAGAACATATGAGAGGCTTTGGATTTGGGGTTAGGGTCGCAGAGAGTATACGAGGGCTTCTGGAAGGGAATAACACGCACCAATGATAGACGGTTTCGAGGGCTTATGTATATCATGCCTGCAAATCTGCTTCTATTGACTCCAAGAGGATAGACGGTTTCGAGGCCATTACATATACCGATGCCCCATTCTCTATCACACTCGGGCAAAACTGACCCTCTTTCTATTATTTTCCCCTACTCCAGCAATTACCTGTTTGATAATCACTCCCTTGAAATCTTGAGCTTTTATAGCCTGACATATACTCGTGAGGACGTTCCCCCTTATGGCCACCCTCGTGATTGCTATACTATGGAATTTCAGATTGTTTTTCGTTCTCATCATTTCCTCTTTTTTCCTCTTTTCCTCCCCTCTCCTCTCCTTTTCTCCTCTCATCATTTTTGTTCTTCCTTTCTCTCTCCTCTATTATGGTTTTTCCTTGCGGTCTTAGCTTGCAATTTTGACTTGTGATTCTGACCAGCTTCCTTTGTATTTGTGGGGTGGCTCCCATGTTCACAAGAAAAGGTTCATAGCCAATCTGCATCGAGTCATTGATGAGACAATTCAGGAAGTGGTGATCCTAATTCTCTATGGCCTTCCTTACTGACTTGCATGTGAAGTTGGAGGAGCCCTTGTCGTGTTATTCTTTTCTGAAATTTAATCTGAGAACTTGATCTTATTGGGAATTTGTTGTTACCTTCTCAAGTTTGTATTGAGAAACTAGCTGAATTGGATGCATACTTTTATGACCATATTAAAGCATGAATGTGGAAAAAGAAAAGACGTAAAAGAGCTCGCACATTTTCAAATCATTCCGTATCGTGAAACTTACCGGTTTTGGATCATGAATGAAAACTCAAGGACTTTGGGATGATTTTGGGATTTTCATAAAGTATATGGACTATATTGCAATTACTTGAGACTTCAAGGATCTATTTACAATTATTAAAAAGTATGATGACTAAAATGTAATTTGGAGAAAGTATAAAGAACAAAGTGCCATTAAAGATAAGAATAAGAATGAGGATCAAAGTGCAATTAAAGATAAGTATAAGTATAAGGACTAAATTGAAAATAAGAATTTTTAGTAACATGTTTGAATGTTGGACTAGGAATTAGTTGCCCAAGCAAGGAAAATTTGAAGGCACATACCACAAGTCAGTCTTAAGCTTTGGATTTCAGGTAAGGGGATTCACTCCCGAACTCGTATTTTGTGTATGTATGACATGATAAATAATGTTGTGTGCAAAAGTTGCATTATTTTGGTTGCCATATGTGCTTGGTTTTATGGATGCTTGAGATTTATATATATATATATATATTTATTTTTATTTTTATTTTTATTTTTAATATGGTTGTTGTTGTCATTATGGATAGTTGAGATTGGAGGGTACTTGCTTGTGAGCAATATCCTAGATGACGTGGGTGATGGGGGCGTAGCATCCATCCTGCGTTTCGATCTCCTAAACCTCCGAAGGGGTTACGCGGCCCGGCTTTAGCAATATCCTACGTGCGAGGTTTAGTCAACGAGGTGTAACTGGTAAATGAACACTCTCACTAGCATACGAGGTGAGTTGGATATAATTGTGATTCTAGTAGGGGTAGTTGGCCTATAAGAATCGGTCATTAGACAAGCTGACACAGGTGCACCGAAAAATATTTGTAGAAAGTTTCTTGAGCATGCCAATGGTTTTGGATCCAATATATGAAAATGGTTTGTGTTTGCTATTTAATTTTAAACATGGTCATGACTGTTGGCAGATGAACATATGTGATACTCCCCTATTTTTGATGTAGATTATACCCCTAGGTGACATCTGGGTGCAACTTCCTGACCTGTCAACAATATTGATCCTATTCCACATCATCTCAGGTCATGAATTCTATTCTTCGATGTTGATTTTGTTTCTCCTTCCTTTGTATAAAAATGAATTATGGATGGGTTGATGATGTTTTATTTCATAATCTGTTTTTTAAAATAGCTTCTTAGGTTATTGGTACTATTCCATGACCTCTTGGGTTGGTTTATCTTTCAAATAAAATGTTATATAATGTTTTATTTACTTTTCTGGTGTCATTGAAAACTATGATCCAATCCGTTTTAATTAGATAAAAGGGCTTAACGTATTTTGAGAATTTTGGAAATATAACACGTGTGACTTAGGTGTTTTTGGGATTTTCAAGGTACGTGTTGCTGTCACGTGTCCAGATTTTGGGGCATGAGGCATACCAAATTATATATATACTAAAACTGATCCGAAGTTACTGTTCCTAAACTGTTCATAGACTGTAGCTTAGGAATAGTGAACTGACGGTTTTGCCCCGCTTAAGAGATGGTCTGCTTCCTTGAGCTGACTTTTGAGCAGTGAATTGGCCGTTATGCCTTCCAGCCATGTTCTCATCTCTTCGTGGGAACCGAAGTTCCCAATTTTGGCTGGCTCTTTCTCCCATGAGAGCTTCACTGTTGAAGCTTGATCTGGCTTTCTTGCGGCCGTTGATTTCGTTTGTGGCTGCTATGGTGCGAATTGGTTCGTTCATTTGGTCATCTTCTTCATTAGATAACCTTCTTTTCATTTGTTCTCCTGTTTGTCTCATATCGCATTCTTCCTCTTTTGTTGGGTTTCCTTCTTCAATTTTTCAGATGTGTCTTTCTTTTTCTGATCTTCCTTTTTAATCGCGTCTTCTTTTGATGTTTTGTAGGTAGTGTTTCGACGGACGGTTCTGATGCCTCACCTGTTGGATCTCCCGATCGCGCCTCCTTCGAGATTCAACGACAGCCGTCCGACGACGACATACCCCTTTTGCCCTGTTCGCTTCTCTGCCCCCGCGAATTCATCTCATCTCATCTGCTCTTCGTTGGTTCAACCATCTTTCCAGCTGCGCTTCATCCTTCTGCTCATCGCACGGGTTTAGCTCAAAGGGATTTCTAGGTTTCGTAAAAAAAGGTTGGTTTTAACGTTCTTTTGGTTTTCTAAGTTGGTTTATTCATTTTTCATGTCGAAAATTGAGAAGTAAATCATAAATTGAGTTTGGTTTGTTGTTACAGGGAGGAAGATCTAAGGAAAAAGAACTGGAGTAATCAATATGAGAACCCCCAGTCTGCTCATCAATCTGGTAATTGATGTTTGTGTGGCTGATTTTCTGTATGCGTGTGGTTATAGGTTCCTTCTTTTTTTTATTTTTTATTTTTTATGACTCCAGATCAGAATTATAATTCTAATAAATGTTATAGATTTGCTGTTTGCGTGTGGTTATAGATTTTCTGTGTGGCTGATTGTTTTTATATTTTTTATATTTTCTGTTTGTACTTATCTTGCGTTCCCTTTTTGGAGTCTCTCTTTGACCTTGAAGATGCATAAGGTTCTTGGTTACTGTCAATTACTAAGAATCCCGTTATGTCATTTTCACATATAGCTCAGACAGACTAGCATATACAGCCCTTGATTATAAAAGGGTGGAACCACATTCTCTTGATAGAGTATTGCAATTGTATAGCAAGCTGTAGAATTTGTTGTATTACCATATGTGGAATAGGGAAAAGCAGGGCATTTCCTTTGGTTGTTAAATTTTCTGCTTTTAGTGAATTTGAGGGTTATAAATGGAAGTGGAGGGAATTGGGTTCAGTTGTGTGAGTGAATCTTTGTGTGTTATTTCAGTCCAAGTTTGTACCTTTGTATATATGTGTGTGTTAATCTGTTTTGATAAATGGGAAGGCAGCTGTGATTGGGTTCCTATTGTTGTTAGATTTTGAAATTTTGACTGGTAAAGGTATTCTCAAGGGAACTGACTTTTTGGACTTTATTACTCTGTTTGAAATTGGCTTTCTGAAAGGGAAGATTTGAATGACTGATGAAACAGAGAATATGATTATATGTCAAATATTATATTGTTGTTTTTCAAATATCTTTCGTCTTCTGGCTGCTCCTATCCATATATATAATGACAAATAGCATATTTGGATAATCAAATTTGTTCTTTTTCTTCCTTTTCAAAGTTACTAGGTTTAATTTGTGCTTGCACACAATATATATTTATTCTCCATTTGGCTTAACAAACTTATTAATGGTGCTCTTTGCATATTTTCAGGATTGATACTCAATCAAATACAAGGCGATTTCAATCCCTGGAGTGGGAAAATTAGAGTCACTTTGTGGGGCGACACAGTGAAGACTTCTGATGTAAAAGCTTTACAAGCCTCAAAAGTTAAAAGAATTTCAGGATATACAATTTATTTCTCCTACTTTCTTTACCTATTCTTATTAAGCAGGTAAAATCTCTCTGTCTCTCTCTATTTGAGCATGTGGATAATGAACCTTAGGAGCTTAATATCTGTTTGCATCTAAACAAAATAAGATTTAGAGCTGATATTTTGAACTATTTGGTGCCTTTGTTCTTCCCTGCATGTGCTTGGAATTACAATGAAAATTTCCTTTCATTCTTTTTTTAGCTGTTGAAAGGTTTGATCATGAGGACAAAGGTGATTTTGCAACTTCACCAAAGCATTTTAGGTAAGAACCATATCCTTGAATTGCTCTTTTGGACTGAAATTAAGCCTTTTGTGTGATGGTTTACCATATGATTGAGTTCTATGTTTGAGCTTATGGATTGGTTCATGGTGGATTTGAATTGGCAATTGCTTGAGTGAGGTTGATAACTATGTGCATTGTAAGATTCACAATTATTAGATGTTTTAAATGTAATGAACAAAAACTATAACATGTAGCCTGTTATTTCTGCCTTTATTATACTTTTATAACTTATAGCTGTTTATAGATTATTACTTCTATAGCTTATTTCTCCATTAGATTATCTTGATTCTGTAACAAACTTGCTCATTAAGTTATTAGGTTATCTTATTTCTATTTATAGGTCATTAGATGTTCATAGGTTATTTAAATTTTGGTTTGTGCAGTTTGTGTTGGCCTTAATTCTATAACAATAGCCTTTGTCTTCACCGAAATTTTCTTCTTTCTCTACACTACCGCATACCATTTACCAAATTTATAGCAACAAAATCAACACCCCTTGATTTGATTATGTTCAGGCTCAAGTGTTTTGGCTTAATTCTCTTCTACCTATTTAATAAATTGTCACAATTGTTCTAAATTTGTTTTCAATTGGTTCAATAGATTGAGTTTATACTTCTGTCGATCAGATTAATAGAATGCTTGATGTATCTAGACTGTTGTTTGTCATGTTCTATTTTTCAACTTAATTATGTCATAATAGTTATTGCCCTCACTCAAAATTTTCCATTTATATACACTGACACCTGCTATTTTCCAAATTTATGTGAACAGAGTCAAAATCTCCAGAGAGGAGGAGAAAGAACGTAAGCCCCCTGTACGGCAGAGCTAGCAAGACCTAGATCCCCTTCCACCACCCAGTACCATATATATAAACACCTGTCCAAAATATTTTGAACTTGCTCATATTTTGATGTTTTTATAACTACATCTATTAAAATATGATATTTTCACATAACAAGCCGCACATAAAACATGTTATTAGTTTATTTTTTGTAACTTAAGCTACCACTATTTAGATCTCCATGTTTATATAAATAGTATCATTTTCCTTGCATATTTTCACGACTTTATACACATTACACACGATTTCAAAACCCACAGCATCGCGCGGGCACCATTACTAGTATAAGTACTATATAGTGTAGCGCAAGCATTTAAAATTATTTTCCTCTAATCTTACCCATTAGATTATCTTACAACCTAAAATATAACACTTTACATTAGTTTTATAGATAATTTTTTTAAACTACTGTCGTTACGGTTATGTAAAAAAAAAAATGACATTCATCTTATTTTCGCAGGAAGACATGCTCTCTCCGAAATTCACTCATCCATATAAACAATAAAGACTATGGAGACTTTGACTACCAAATATCATAAACACCAACGAAATTTTGTCAACCATATTATTGATGTCCAAAATTGGATTCAAATTTAAGGAAATTGTCGGATGAATATGCAAGGTACAACAAAAAAAAACACAAAAAAACAACCTTAAAAAAAAGACCAAAACACACAAAACGGCAACCCAAAAAAAAACGCAAATACAAAGATCAAAAAAAAAAAACAATAATCACCCACTACACCAAAATCGAAACCCTCGAAGCACCAATACGAACACGTCAATCAAGGGAAAACACAAGCCAAAGCCATAGGAGCCAGTAACCAGAGAATGGAAGAAGGTGGTCATGCATCAAAGCTAGAGTCAGAGCTAGAGCTCTACACACTTTTCGCTATAGTAGAATAGTTTAGAGGATAGGAACGGGTGTGGGCCACCATGGGAGCACAAATGGGTGGATGAAATTGAGATTCCAACGCATGGCCCGTCTTCGAATCTCTGGAACAAACTCAAACATTCTTGCACCAAAGTTCCACCTGATAATTTTCATAGCATCTACGTAGATGGTATCCTCAATAGTCGGGTGGAAACCTATCGCAAATTTTCCACACTGATCTAGAGGCCTCAAAGAAACATCATCATAATAGGAGGAATCCAACTCGAAGAAGGGAGCTTTGTCGACCACCAAACGCCATTTCAAATTATCATCGCCTGCATCCAACTCCCAGACACTCAAATGATTACCAAGCACAAACTCGGTCACCCGCAAATGCCCTCGACATGCACCAAGAACCCGATACATCCGAAGGCAACTTCCTCGCACTTCAGACGACATATCAAGAGGTTCCAGACTGAACCGACATTTGTCAACAATAATATGATCGCCATCACCATCACCATTACTAGTACTGATATTACTGATACCTTGGAAGGGATCCAACTCCAGAATATAGGAGGATTCATCATCGGAACCTGAAAAATACAACTTCCCATTGCAAGCAACGCCAGCAGTTATGATATCAAAATAATCTCGTAGGCCACATACCACATTAGCGGACTCTCTCCATTCACCGGTCTCAGAAAAGAAGATGTCCACATAGAACTCCTGACGTAGTCGCACAACCCTCCACCTATATTCAGCATTGATGGAAACATCATCATCGAAGGAGGAAGATGAGTTGTAGTTGTAGTAGGGATCACAAATGAACCCTACGCTTACCCAATTATGGATTCGAGGAGGGGGAGGAAGAGCAACCCATTTCTTGGTGTATGGATTGCAAATGTAATAATCACGTTGATCAAGTTCGCTTGGGCAGCACAAAACTAAGTCGTTGCACGCCCCTACCACAAATAATTTTTGTTCTGCTGCGGCTTCTGAAATAACAGGTAGCTGCAAACTCATCAGACCATCCTCGATCATCAGACCATCCTCGTTTTCCACCCGAAAGAATGTTCCATTGTCTACAACTACAGTACCTAAAATGGGCGTTTTCAAATCACGTTGGCGACGTACATATTGCCCAACAAAATGAGAACTAGAGATGAGTTCACACCAACGCTTGGACACGCACTTGCATTGAAAAACAAACTTGATACAAGAAAGTCGACAAATGATTTCAACCAATAAAACCTCTGGGAGATCATCAATACTATCATTCATTATCATTTTATTTATGAGTCAAACCCAGCACCATTAACAACAAATTCGATGTCAAGATGATTAAATAACTGACTCTGAGCCCCACATATCATCAAACAAACACTAACTAGAAAATAGGGAACGTACCCTACTTTTGTGGTCATATAGATCCCGAATTTTTTATATTTTCATCCATTTTATTGTATTTTATTTTAAAACTGTAGAAATTATCACTCACTCTTTGGTTGGCAGCCACAGATCAATAATTAACCAAAATTAGCCTTGGTTCTCCAAGTTCGAATGTAATTCATCCATCCATTTAGAGGTGTCAAATGGTCGGACCGGCCCCACAAGGCATGAGCTCATCCCGTTTAAATAGAAAATTGAGTTGTAGCCACTGTTTTCCTAGCCACCTCATCTGAATGGTGGCCATTGCTGATGTAATAGCCACACACTTACTGTTAATCTGTGGCACCAAACACATGGCCCGGTATATTTGTGGCTGAAAAACAACCAGCCACGGATGCTGAGTCAAACAGTACTTATTTTGGGATATTGATGTAAACTATATGGGCTGCGTATATTAAAAGACTAACCTTTAAGAGTGTCAGAAATTTCGGATCTTAAATGTCTTGTTGTAAAACCTTTAGATAATCATCGATTTGACACTCTTAGAAAGTCTTTAGATATTTGTTCTTTTGAATAATTGTATGCATGCCAAAAGACTCCGGCTATTCTCTTCTCTGTTTTTGTAACATAAATTGGATTAAATTCTAAGTACTTTGTTCAGCACGTGCAGGGATTGATAAGCTATATCAATCCTACTAACGTTTGGAAGTTTTGCTGATCTTAGATTGGATTTTTGGCATTGGATCACCTTGGGCAAATTAATATTGGCGTTGGATCCTTTAATAAGCTCTTATTCTAGATGAGGTTTTGAATGCCTTTGTGCTTGTCTAATTTGTCCTAATTGTATATATAACCTTGTGCAATGCTTTCATTGATCACTAAATTGTATCCAAGAAACTAACTGCTATCATTCTACAACCGAATAGATACTGAGTCTAATATACTGTTATAAAAACATTGTGTCTTGTAGCATGCAAAGTAATCTTGCATCATGACATGAACTCAGACTGTAATATCGAAATAGGATTTGTTGTGCCACCACCAAACCAAACATATAATCAGACATCAACTTCAGAGAGTCTTAGCAATATTCTTCTGTAAAAAGGATTTATACCCATTCACCTGTGTACAATTTCCTTAGTGATTTCCTTCTTGCTGTCCAATAAGCTGCCTGTACCCAGTGAGCTTCCTTGTTATCTAGGCCTTAAAACTTGTTTTTGTATTTTCAATATGTCTAGTGCATGTTCTTCATTGGATCAATATCAACTAGTATCTCACATACAAAACAAACTACCAATTCTAAAGATTATTGAGTACCTTTATGCAATACAAACCTCTAGTTAAAATCAATCCTCTATCTGTCTCTTCATTGCACAATCCTGAAGTAAACCTTCTAACATCATGTAAACTTTGATCATTTGGTAAAACAAAACTTCTCATTTATGTCTGTGTTAAGTATTCCTTTACTGTTTTTTCTGCAGTAAACTCAAAACTTTTCCTTTTAGTCCCTTAAATACTTCTCTTTTGTGTGCCCGTAACTTTTCCCAATATGAACTACCTGTTGGCAAAACAATATAAAATATGATTATAATAATTCTCCACAAAATTGTAACCATCAAATATGCAACAAAACAAACACAAATGTGTAGAAATACTGACAACTTTAGCGATTGAGGCTTGCAAGAATTGCAATTAATGCCCTAAAGACATATTTCGCCCCTGCCCTTGTGCTCGCAATTCTATAGGCGTTTATCTCTCAGGATTCAACAATCAATAATCCTAGATTGAAGCACTTCAATTTAAGTCTCTGACAAACCAATTATATATTTGTACTCTCAAGACATTTAGGAAAGAAACTTGAAGATTGATACTCTAACATAGCATGAGTGGAGAAAAATTCCATATCAAAACTCCTCTGAAATGTCATATAGCTTAGGTTTGTATAGAACCCAAGTGACTTTTTGGATTAGCAATGGTGGCTGTTCACTAATTGACGCCACCCATGCAAAAGGGAAGATGCAACTTCTCTGATTGAATTGCATCAAGTTTGTATGCTATGCGATTTTTCATATTTTAACATAATAACTGTTTTCATTCACACATTAAAATTAAATATTATAATATATAATTTCCAACACTACCAATATGAAATTGTTTAGTCAATGAAAACTTTTCCCTTTCAATCATTCTGGAGGCTTTATAAAAGTCTTTGTATTCTTGCTTTTATGAGTGCCAAATTGTCAAAAGTTTTCTTTACTAATGACCACTTTCACTGTTTGTGATAATGCTATTTAGAAACCTGCAGTTGAATTGATATGCCAAAATCAAAACTTTGTCTACCAAACTCTATTGCTGAATATCGAAACAGACTTATCAAACTCCAAGTTGAAGTTTGATTTTACAATCCTATTGAATGATTCTGACTTCCTTGCTATGGAAAGAATGCAAACTACATAAACTAGCTCAAAAGGAAAACAAAACCAACTGAAATAATAGCTACTTAATGCATATTTGATCTATGATCATTTTTCTCCTTGCTTGGTGGCATCTGGTTTATCAGTTCCTTTACCCTTATTCTTTTCCAGCCATTTCTTATATCTTCTGCATAATCTCTTCATGTGCCCAAATTTCTTGCAAAAGAAAGACTTATGTTAGAAAATGATTTCCCTTGATTCAAATATGTTTACAATGTACAGCTATATAGGAGATTTGTTTGACTGTTACAAAAAGTTATAAACAACATTAAAGACTATAATTACAAAGAATCAAAACTGATCTTCAGTTACACAATCAGTTTTGATTCTCAATCAAACTGATCTTCAGTTAGACTTTTTGATTGTGTTCACCCATTTTAGATTTGTTCTTGTGATGGTAGTGTAAAGTTCCCCATTGTCTTGAAAACCATTGACTGGTCAAAAAGTCAACTTTCTTTTGTGTGCGAGCGTGCTACTGCTAGCAATAAAGACCCTAGCAGACTTCTTAAAAATAGATAACTTGCGGCCCAAGTTACTGATTTCTAAACAAACGATTGTGAATTTGGGTGAGGAATATCTTCCCAAGTAAGTTCTTTTCTTTGCCTCAGACTGGTGGGGACTTCACAATTTTTCACAGTACAAAACTGGTAGTTCTAGCCAGAATAAATGACAAGAAAGTAAATTGTTTCAGGTAGAACTGCCTTTTACAAGACTTAGAAAGGGAAAGATCAATCTAAAAAAGACAAAAAGAGCGTTGGACTTCAATTTTTGTCTAGATAGCTACTTTTGATCTGAGCTGGATTGGATGTGTCTATGTTGGATTGGACTATCAACACCTTCAACTGTCAAGTTTCAGCTGTAAATCGATACCAACGTTCGAGTTTGGCAGAGCTTTAATCTATTTCAAGCCTTGGAAGGCTCTTTGAATGGGCATAATTGGAACCTCTTCAGTTTGGAAGGGCCAGAAGTGGCTGAATTTGGTGATTACTGAGCTGGAACTGCGTTGTAGTACCTGTTCTGCTTGATCAAGGCTCTTCATAAATTTGTTGAGGTTTTCATATTTGTAAAAATCGAACTTTGCTTAATTTGGCTTATGCTGAACCAAATTTGTAACGAGAGAAATCTCACTTTGAATGACTATTTCTTTGAAACTGAATTGAAGTTAGAGATTCTGGATTATGGCTGACTTGTTTTTCTATGACTCAATGAGCTTTTGGTTGCTTCGGTGCTTTGAAGGTTTTTGAGATCAAGTGATCATTTTGAGTTTTTGTTTTTGATTGATTTTTTGGCTGTCGTTTGATCTGTTCACCTTTTCTCAGATTTATAGGAAATACTGGAGTGAGATTTCTAATCTTTTAATAATGGGCGACAGATTTCCTAAAGACAAGATCTTTTATTTTATATGTCAAGGAAAAGAGGATTTTTATCTATTCTGTCAAAACGCTATCAACAGTCAGTTATTTCTCTGTTTTCTTGAAAGAAAGCCTAATCCCTTTTCAACTTCTAACTGCTCTTTGCAAGGGTTCAACTTGCCGTGATGGTTAGTTCGATTTTCCAGATGAACAACTCCCTGCACCCTACTTATCTCTTTAGAAAATGTAGCCTGCTTATCCCTTGGAAATAATGCTTGTCTTGATGTAGAATTATATAGAAATGGATTTTGATCCTCTTTTGACGGAAAAGACTGGAGACATTTGCCTGTTTAAGACTTGCCTTCATTAATTCCCTGTCAATTCTCTTGTGACTAGTTGAAAATTTTGACTTTTTCAAAGTCAAGTAGTCACGTGGGGGCTTTTTTGTGAAAAAAGATTGGCTGTTTTTGCCTTTTTTGGGATAGAGACCAAGTGGTGAGATTTTCTCAGAAGCTGGGCTTTTATCCAAAACTGTGTGTATCGGTTTTCAATTGCCAATAATGGTATTTTATTCCTTCCAGATCATGTCTACATTCGTAATTTGCTCAAAAAAGGTCCGGGCTTTTCCAGTGTCTTGGTTTTCTTCTTCTGATTTTTGTAGATTGCCCAAATGTTTTTGGTTCATGGGCCTCTCGATGAAAATGGGCTGGCGTGCATAATTTTGGCCCAAACAGATTGAGAAACTGATTGTGTAACTGAAAATCAGTTTTGATTGAGAAGAGGAAATCTCTCTAACAACTTCAATCCAACAGGTTTTCCTTCCTTTCCTTCCTCATGTTTTCTTGCTTTCCCTGTTGCTGTATAGGTTTTTCCATATGATTTTGGTTTTCCTTTTATATCATGTATTGCATTGACACGATTTTGTTCCCTCTCTTTCTTGTTGTCTTGTTGCTATTGCACACAAATACCTATCAGATCATTCATAGTCCACATCTCCTTTTGAGCAATATAAGTGCTATTGAGAAGTTTGAAAATACTCGGGCAGAGAGTTGATTGCAAAATACACCATCATAGCTTCATCTACATTCACATCCAGGGATCTTAACCTGTTTCCAATGTCGAGCATTTTTGCTATGTGAACCCTGACACAACCTTCCCCATCATATTTCAAATCTTTCAATTGACCCATCAAGTTTCCTATCTCAGCTTTCTTAGATTCTTGAAACTTTTCTCAAATTCCCTTAAGGAAAGCGTTGGCATTGTCAAATGAAGGAATGACACCTTTCACAAAGGGTGAGATTGATCTTGTCATAATGAGAATGACCATTCTGTTTGCCATGTTCTATTTGGCATATTCGGCCTTGACCTCAATTGACGCATTAGCAGCTGGTTGTTGTGGCGTGGATCTTCTTTCAGTACCATCTCAAAGACTAGCAATCCTAGAGCAATTTCCAAATCCTCTCTCCCTTTGGTTTAGTTGGAGTCAGTGAGTGTTTCGATTGAATTATTGTTAACTGTAAATATGTAAAATATAAAATATGATGTCCATCCCCATTTTTTGTACATTATCAATTCACACATATGGGTTGAGAATTGAACATGTTTTACTAATCACCAAAACACATGTGTTGGCTACGCAAATCTCACGGCCTGGTGCTCCGGGCTGAGGGGATGTGCGTCTACACGTCGCGTCCTTCTTTTGGATGCGGTGCGGTTGTGCGTGGGTGTGTCAGCACGGTCTACTGTGCGTTGAGATGGTGATGAGGTTTGGGTAGAAGATGGTTAAATGATGCGCCTGTTTTGCGTTCGACTCCAAATCAAACAATTGTGCCCGAGAGAGGAACTGATCTCGGCCATCAGGTTCATGGCCTGAGCTACAAGGCCGTTTTAGTGGTGGTGTTGGTGGTGGGTTTTAGGCGGTGCTCCGGCGCGTTGCTCAGAGAGCGACGGTCGTATGATGTATGGGGTGAGTGAGATGATAACAGAGATGGTGCTCCGGCGCCTTGAAAATCAAGGGTCGTATGATATACTGATGAATGGATTTTCCTTACAATCTACCACTACTCCTAGGAAAGCAAATAAAGGTATTGAAAGTGCATTACAGGAAAATATAATTTGCTCCGTGGGAGGCTTTTGGTTTGGTGTTTGAACCCCTTGAATGTAGTCCTGAGCTTAGTATTTATAAGAGGAGTCTTGGAGGGACAATCGAGCCTGAAAAGACCTGCGTGGTGGAGCCTGATCGGGGCAAATGGGTAGTCAAATCGGCATTTGGGATCGTGAAGCATGGTGGTGTGACCCCCATAAATCCCGGTAAATCTCGGCCATCGCCCTGATCGTGGGTTCTACCCCCTTGGCTGTGGGAACACATTTAATGCCCTGGTCTGGTGGTTGGTGATCTGACCTCAAGTCGTAAGATTACTTGCGAGAATGTCTGCGCCTAACCACTCTGATTTCCATCACCAAATCCTAACTTCAGTCACTTCCCTTCTTCCCTTGTGCATTAAATGCTTCTTGCGACTAGTGGGTTTGCTGCGATAGTCAGAAGCATTACTTCATTAAATGGGGCGTGGAACCCTGAGGCCACGTGGCGATTTAACCACAGTATCTTCTGCCGTGTCTTTTATGGCCTTTGGCTTCGGCCTACAATACTGCGGTCGCGAGGCCGAGAGGATTCTGCCTTTGCAGCTTTTCTTTTGTTTTCAGGAAGGCGAAATGCCTAACGAACCGGTAGGTGCCAGGACCGGTGCCAGGACCGAGAGGAAGTCCCTTCAATCAGTTTATGACCATGATTTATTAGGCACAAACAACATGACACATGAATTTCTTTTTTATGGATTGATTTCTCACATCTGTGGACAGAAAGAAATCTCCATGAATTCATATACCTCATGTTTTGCATCAAACCACAGTAGATTTCCGTAAACAAGACTACCAATATATCTGGACAGAAAGTTTTTCCTCATTTACATCGATCTTCTGTGCAATCTTGATCAGTTTCCTTTGAATACAAGATTCCTTAATTAACTATGATGTTGTGGCTCGCTCTAGTTAATACATAATTTCTTGAAACCTTGATCTTTAGCCTTCAAGCATGGATAAAAAAAATACAAATTTATAAATAAACCCAATCCTAGACATGTATTTATAAAAAAAACCCAAGCACTATTTAAACATAGAAACACACCCAAAATCAACCCCAAAGTCAACTTTTTGGGTGTGTTTATAAATGAGTTTTGAGTGTGTGTAATGATGGATTTTGGGTGTGTTTATATGTTTAAATAGTGCTTGGGTTTTTTTATAATTTCAACCCCCATTTTGGGTGTTTTAGTGAAACTCCCTAAAAAAAATCATATATTTGAAAACATGCTTAACAGATCTACATAAATAGAAAAGTGAAAAAGTAAAACCATGCTTCATTCAATTTTCAACATGGTATGCGGCATATTATTTTCTTTTGTTTCATGCTTCATTCAATTTCCAAGGAATCTATTGGAACAAGGATTTCTGTAAAACACAACTTCCCTTAAAACCAAAACACCAATTCTAATCAAGTTCTTAATGAATACAAAGACCTAGATCTCCTATGATGATTAGAAGACCACATTAAAGTGTTTTAAGACATAAAATATCTAACAATTGATCCATCTACAGAATTCTATTGCTATGCTTCATCGGGACTGAAGAAGATAATTGGACAGAGGAACCTTCAGAGCCTAACCAAATGGTGTTGGCGTGAGTCAACGTTCCTATTAGGAATAGAATTTCTGTTTTATTGTAATTATCTAATTTGAATAGAATTAGGAGATTTTGTACATATTTCCTATTTGTAACCACTCTATATGTAGTATATATATTCCTCCTTGAGAGAAGAATAAATATATCAGTTTTAAACCCTAATTATTTTGAGCTGGTATCAGAGTGGGTTTCAAAACCCTAAGCCTAAAAATACCTATTTCTGCTGCACCTAGCCTGTACACCTAAGCCTATGCTGTCTTATATCTCTTACTGTCGTCGAAGTCACCTAATTTCTTTTGATGCCGCCGCTATCTATCACCATGTCAGATGTCACTGACTCTTCTTCTTCTACTCCTATTGTGACGGTTCATACCGAATCGTCCACCAACCTACCTATGGGATTCAAATTGAATGGATCCAACTATGAGATATGGATTTCGATGATCGAACTCCATGCTACTACACAAGGCAAATTGGGTTACCTGACTGGCGACATTGATGCCCCTGATTCCAAAGAACCGAAATTTGGGAAGTGGAAAATTGCTGATGCTGTTGTGAAAAGTTGGATGCTGCGAACTATGGAACCCAGTTTGTTGAATATGTTTCATACTCTAACTACTGCTAAGGAAATTTGGGATGCTGTTAATCAGATGTTTTATGATGTCTCTGACATATCCCAGCTCTATGAACTGCGATGCCATGCTACCTGTCTTAAGCAAGAGGGTCGTCTTGTCTCTACCTATTTTTCCTAACTTAAGGCAATCTGGCTTGAATTGGACAAGAGACGTCCTTTTCAGATGAAGTGTGTTGATGATATGAAGACTTTTCAGGCTGCTGTTATGGCAGATTGTGTGTATGATTTTTTGGCTAGTCTTGACGATACTTATGACAAGGTCCGAAGTGATATTCTACGAAGTGATAAAGTTCCAAGTATCGAAAATGTATTTTTTATGGTTCGTCGCGAGGCTCAACGCTATATTACTATGCTTGGATCCGGCACCAAGATTGGGGAACCTGCTGTTGTGTTTGCTTCCAAAGACACTGCTTTGGTTTCTCAGCGTACAGGGTCTGGGTCTTCTGCTGTTCCGCCTCGTCGCCTGACTTCTGCAGAAAAAGACAAACTGAAGTGTGATCCCTGTGGTGAAAAGAGACATACTATCGACACCTACTGGGCATTACATGGGGTACCAGATTGGGCGCAAGAGCGGAGGCGTTTAAAAAAGGAACAACTGGACAACAAAGCTCATGTGGCTGTTGCCCCCACTTCTGTGGATGACATCACCACTAGGCACGACCACCTTACTGCTACTCTGCCTCTTCTATGTTGACTCTGTCTCCAAAGGTGTTTGGTTGTGTCGTCTATGTTCACCTCCATAAGAATCAGAGGAGTAAGCTAGACTCATGTGCTCTCCGTTGTGTCTTTCTGGGTCCTCATCAGAAAGGTTACCGATGCTATCATCCTGCAACCCGACGTCTATATGTCTCTATGGATGTTACCTTTGTTGAGGATGAAATGTTCTTCTCTGATACACCCAAGCATGTCCTTCAGGGGGAGACTAGTAGTGAAGGACATAGCTGACTATATTTACAAGGGGGAGTAGTATTAGATAGTTTGATACAAAGGGAAGAACCGACCGAACCTGCTGAACCTGCTACACTAGCTGAACCTGCTATTTTAACTGATGTCACTACTGTCACTGAATCGATTGCCCCTCATGAAGCTCCTCTAAAAGTACACGATCAAGCTCCCCTGGATATTCCTGAGGTAAGTGCTTTTATTCATACTTCTGATAATTCTTATGTTTTACCGCCTAGACAGAACCGTAGGGTTCCACCTTATCGCTACTCACCAAAAGGCAAAGCGAGATATGCTATTGCCCATTATGTGTCTGATCACAGGTTATCTCCTGAGTGTAAAGCATTTGTGACCAAAATGGATAATATTAAAATTCCAACCCGTGTTGAGGAAGCATTTAATGATCCAAAGTGGGCTGAAGCCATGAATATTGAAATGGAGGCGTTGCAAAAAAATAATACATGGGACATTGTTGATCTACCAAAGCGAATGAAGCCTATAGGATGCAGATGGGTGTTTATAGTTAAATATAATGTAGATGGTACTGTGGAGAGGTACAAGGCAAGATTAGTAGCTAAAGGGTTCACTCAGACATATAGAGTTGATTATCATGATACTTTTGCACATGTGGCTAAGATGAATACTGTCAGAGTTTTGTTGTCCTTAGCAGTAAACTTGGATTGGACCCTGAGGCAATTTGATGTAAAAAATGCATTCTTACATGGTGAACTAGAAGAAGAAGTGTACATGAGTCTTCCACCAGGGTATAGGGTTATCGGTGAAACGGGGAACATGTGCAAATTGAAAAAGGCGTTGTACGGGTTAAAGCAGTCTCCTCGGGCATGGTTTGGTAGATTTACAACAGCTATGAAGATGTTTGGTTACCGACAGGCTAATACTGATCATACTCTATTCATTAAACATAGGGCTGGTAAGGTGACTTTGTTGATTATTTATGTTGATGATATGATTGTGACTGGTGATGATACTGTAGAAATCGAGGAACTGCAGAAACATTTAGCATCTGAATTTGAGATGAAAGATTTGGGTAGTCTGAAATATTTTCTAGGAGTGGAAGTCACTCGATCTAAACATGGCTTATTTCTTTCACAAAGGAAGTATGTCATGGACTTGCTAGCAGATACTGGAATGCTTAACTGTAAACCAGCTGATACACCTATTGTTGGGAATCATAAACTTGGTGTTTATGTGGATCAAGTCCCAACTAACAGAGAAAGATATCAAAGGTTAGTTGGGAGATTGATTTATTTATCATTGACACGCCCTGATATTGCCTATGCTGTAAGCGTTGCTAGCCAATTTATGCATTCACCTAGTGAGGATCATATAGCTGCTGTGATGCGTATTCTGAGTTATTTAAAGTCTGCTCCTGGGAGAGGTTTATTATTTAAGAAAAATGGTCACTTGGATATGGAAGGTTACACTGACGCAGATTATGCCGGGAATATTACAGATAGACGTTCTACATCAGGTTACTTCACCTTTGTTGGTGGTAACCTAGTTACGTGGTACAACAAGAAGCAAAACGTTGTCTCTCGGTCCTCCGCAGAGTCTGAGTATAGAGGGATTGCCCAAGGGGTTTGTGAAATACTGTGGTTGAGGTGGTTACTTGCTAAAATTGGGTTTAGACCGAATGCTGCTACAAAGCTCCACTGTGATAATTAGTCTGCATTTGAAATTGCTAACAATCCGGTGCAACATGATCGAACTAAGCATGTAGAAGTTGATCGGCATTTCATTAAGGAGAAGCTGGAACAGAAGTTAATTTCTATACCTTTTGTGCCTTTATTAGAGCAGCTTGCAGATATGTTGACCCATGCTGTGTCAAAGCGCCGATTTGAAGACTCACTTGACAAGTTGGGCATTACCGATATCTATGCACCAACTTAAGGGGGAGTGTTGACGCGAGTCAACGTTCCTATTAGGAATAGAATTTGTTCCTATTAGGAATAAAATTTCTGTTTTATTGTAATTATCTAATTTGAGTAGAATTAGGAGATTTTGTACATATTTCCTATTTGTAACCACTCTGTATGTAGTATATATATTCCTCCTTGAGAGAAGAATAAATATATCAGTTTTAAACCCTAATTATTTTGATTAATGGATGGAATGGCTTCTGTTTGTACATATGTGAATTGGTGCAGTATAGAAACTGGTTTTCTCTATTCACATTCCGTTTGTGGTTTACTTTTGTCTCACTTGACAATGTTTCAGGGCTGTTCAACTGTACACACTCCTATGGCACGCATGGTTATATTTTTTTACACATGTATAGCAAATTTTATCCATGGATGCATCTTGATAAGCACTTACGCCTTCAACCACAATC